CTCGGAAACCAGCATATATTTACCAAGGGTTGCAGCATCCTGGGGTCATGGGATGGCTATTTGCAACTTTCCAAGCCAACAACAAGCAGAGTCGATGGCTGATTTGCTTAACAACTCCCCGATTCACTTAGCAACTGCAGTGATTTACTTAACAATTGTGACAAAAAAGGGTTGTAAAAATCAGGTGAGACTCACCTAACCATCTTACAATGAAAATTCTGCCCACCCTCCTCGTTGTGATCAATAGCTGAGGACTACCTATAGGAGAGTTTGTCTCATTTTTATTCCAGGGAGGTGATGCCATATATGTTATCATGTAGTTTGCTTTATTTCCATGCTCTGGATCATCTTGAAGTCTAGCCTATAGCAGTTCCATGAGCCGAAAAAGGATTGCTCAGAAACCAGAGATTCTGGCAGCTGATTGAACTGGAAAAATCTCCTGCTACTAGAACTGTCAGAAAGAGCCACAAAATAAAGGAATGTGAGGCAATGTGATGGCTTTGTTTTGCTTTTAGAAGTTAGAAGCAAGGTTGATGGATGAGCAAACTCTCCAGTTTTTTTTCTGATAAATGGCTATGGCTTGATTGGTTGGGTCAACCGTACTATAGTTTTCCAATAAATAATTTGTTCTCCTCCTCCTTCTCTTCCTTCTCTCTCTCTTCCTCCCTCCCTCCCTCCCTCCCTCCTCCTCCTCCTCCAGTAATTATCTTGTGAGGTCACCTGTTACCTCTGCCAATAAATTCAGCTCTCCGTTGACCCACAAAACAGTTTAAATGATGATCGGAATCAGAAAAGGTTCCCAGCACTCTATTTTTGAATCAATACAGAACACAAAGAGCTATCTGTGTCTAATCCAACCTCCAAGCTATTCCTCAGACAACATTGTTGTGTGTTTCTGACAGCAAGACTTCAACCAGGAGGACCACCTAAAAAACAAACAAACAAACAGAGGCCTCCGTGAAATGCACTGGGCCACCCAAGGCAAGATGGTGGAGTGGCCGTCAGCTTGTGGAAATGATCGGACAGGGCTAAGGCTCAATGACTGGAGGGCATTCGTTGTTTGCTGGGATACCTCAATATGTGGCTCCTCTCAAGCCATCAGCAGAGTCCCTAGAGCACTCCCAGTCTTGCTTCAATTTTATTCAACATCTTTTGAAGCTTAGACCATTTTTTACTGTTTTTTACTGTTGCTCGATATATTAATTTTATCTTGGGAGGGTGCGTAAGTGTGCATGTGTGAGTGTGTTTGGGATGGATTGAAATTTAAATTATTTTAGAATGGAAGGGGTGGGTTGGAGTGGCTGGAATTAGGGAGAATGAGGGAGCCGGGGGCAGGGAATGGAGTCCCCTCTGCTGAGTGTGCAAGCAGAAGTAGATGGGGGCTCAGATATGACCCCTGGTTCAGTTTGAGTGGGGAGCCTTGCCTGCCAGGGAGGAGGGGGGCCACTGAGGTGGGGAAGGGGATCTCTGGGAGGATGGAGAGCCGGAATATTGTGCTTATGACTGGAAGAGGTAGATATGGTGGGAGCCGTGGGGTAGGCCGCTCTCGGGGAACTAGGACTCGCTGCCTCAAAGCGATTACTTGTTCCGGCCCCTCTGGTTCTGGTTCACCAGTCTTGCCTCGTATACCTGATGACTCGGGATGTCAGGGCCCTGGCCTCAGGCTGCTGCTGTTTAATGCCAGGTCTGTTGTTAACAAAGCTCCCCTCGTTCGGGACCTAATCCTAGAGGAGGAGGCTGACCTGGCATGCATAACTGAGACCTGGCTGGGCCAGGAGGGGGGTGTTCCCCTCTCAGAGATGTGCCCAGACGGGTTCCAGATATTGCATCAGCTGAGACTCCAGGGAAAGGGTGGAGGAGTGGCAGCTATTGTCCGGAAGAGTCTTTGCCCTCGCAGGATCCTTGCCCCTGAGATTGTTGGGTGTGAGTCTCTCCTCTTGAGGTTGGACTCAGGGGTTCAGTTGGGCCTGTTATTGAAGTACCTGCCTCCCAGCTGCCTTACAACAGCCCTGTCTGTGCTGCTAGAGGCAATAGCTGGGCTGGCGGTGGAGTTCCCCAGGCTTATGGTACTGAGGGACTTCAACCTGCTGTCACTTGGCAAATCCTCAGATGTGGCTCAGGAGTTCATGGCTTCCATGACAACCATGGACCTGACCCAAGTAATTCAGGGTCCGACCCATAGGGGAGGACACATGCTTGACCTGGTGTTGACCTGGGGCAGTGGAGACAGGATCTGGAATTAAGGGGTATAGATGCTTCTCCCTTGTCGTGGTCAGATCATTTCCTGTTGAGGTTGGACTTTAAGACGCCATTCCTCCATCGCAGGGAGGCAGAGCCGATTAAGTGGTTCCGCCCCAGACACCTAATAGACCCTGAAGGGTTCCAGAAGAAGCTTGGGGAGATACCTGACTCCTTGTCCACAGTTCAGCCGAGACCCTGGTGGCTGCCTGGAGTAGGGCAGCATCTGGGGCATTGGACCGGATTGCGCCTTTGCGACCTCTCCATGGCAGTGGATCTAGGAAAGCTCCCTGGTTTACTGAGGAGCTCCAGGAGATGAAGTGCCAGAAGAGATGTCTAGAGCGACGCTGGAGGACCAGTAAGTCCGAATCTGACCGAACACTCTTAAGAGCCTTTATTGGGAGTTATTTAGTGGCAATACGGGTGGCAAAATGTTCGCATTTTTCCGCACTTATTGCATCCGCTGATTCATGCCCAGCCATCCTATTTAGGGTGACTCGCTCCCTCCTTTATGCAGGGGGAGTGGAGGAGCCCTTGCAGGGTAGAGCTGAGGAGTTTGTGCAGTTTCTGTCGGATAAAGTCGCTCAGATTCGGATGGACCTGGACTCTGATTGGGCAATACCGACAGAGATGACGGGGATGGGTCTTAGTCCTATTGTGTGGGATGAGTTTGAGCCAGTGACTCCTGAGGAAGTGGACAAGGCTGTAGAAGCAATGAGTTCCTCCACCTGTTTGTTGGACCCATGCCCCTCCTGGCTGGTTTCGGCCAGCAGGGAGGTGACATGAGGCTGGCTCCAGGCTTTAGTTAATGCGTCCTTGAGGGAGGGGTCCTTCCCGCAACCATTAAAGTTGTAAGGCCCCTCCTCAAGAAGCCTTCCCTGGATCCAGCAGAATTAAAGAACTTTCGGCCAGTCTCCAACCCACCCTTCGTGGGAAAGGTTGTAGAGAAAGTGGTGGCACTTCAGCTCCTGCAGTCATTGGAGGAAATGGATTATCTAGACCCTTTTCAGTCTGGCTTCAGGCCTGGCTACAGCACGGAAACTGCCTTGGTCACACTGATGGATGATCTCTGGCGAGCCCAAGATGGGGGTCATTCCTCTATCTTGGTGCTACTTGACCTCTCAGCAGCTTTCAATACCATTGATCATGGTATCCTTCTGGGACGACTAAGGGAGTTGGGAGTGGGAGGCACTGTGTTACGGTGGTTCTCCTCCTAACTCTATGGTCGGTCACAGTCGCTGTTGGTAGGAGGACAGAGGTCGACCTGTAGGCCTGTTTGCGGGGTGCCTCAGGGCTCGATCCTCTCTCCCCTCCTATTTAACATCTACATGAAACCACTGGGTGAAATCATCCGACGATACGGGGTGGGATATCAGCAATATGTTGATGACACCCAGCTGTATATCTCCACCCTGCGTCAGTTCAGTGATGCAGTGGATGTGATGTGCCGGTGCCTGGAGGCTGTGAGAGTCTGGATGGGAGTCAACAGGCCCAGACTTAACCCAGACAAGACCAAATGGCTCTGGGTATTGCCTCCTAAAGACTATGTCGATTGTCCATCTTTGGTCCTGGGGCGGGGGAGAAATTGTCCCACTTAGATCAGGAGGCTCTCCTCACAGTCACTCATGCCCTTGTCACCTCACGGTTGGACTATTGCAACGCGCTCTACATGGGGCTACCCTTGAAAAGTGTTCGGAGACTACAGTTGGTCCAGAATGCATCTGCGCGAGCTATTGTGGGTGCACTTAGATACACCCACATTACACCAATTCTCCATGAGCTGCACTGGCTCCCTATCAGTCTTCGGACACAATTCAAGGTGTTGGTTATTACCTTTAAAGCCCTACATGGCTTAGGGCCAGGCTATCTTCGAGACCGCCTTCTACCGCATAGCTCCCAACGACCGGTAAGATCCCACAGAGTTGCTCTCCTCTGGGTCCCGTCAGCTAAACAATGTCGGCTGGTGGGCCCGCGGGGGAGGGCCTTCTCTGTGGCTGCCCCGGCTCTCTGGAACCAATTACCTCCTGAGGTCCAGACCGCCCCCACCCTATTGGCCTTCCGGAAAGCAGTGAAGACCCGGCTTTTCCGGCAGGCCTGGGGCCATTGATCTCGTTGTTGCGATCTTGCGAGACCGGCCATGAATAGAGTGTATGGGTTTTTAATGTTTTTTTTAAAACAACTTTTATGGTATATTGTTCGCATTATTTTTTGTTGTAAGCCGCCCAGAGTCCCCAGGGAGTTGGGCAGCATAGAAATTTGACAAACAAACAAACAAACAAACAAACAAACAAACAAACTTCCCCAGCTCCATTTTGAAAGAACCAAAGCATGGAACTCAACATTTCCCTAAGCATTTCTATGGCTTAGAAAATGCTGGTTAATAGGGTTCACAGTCTTCTGATGTAATTAGATTTTGGGTTTATAAATAATGCAAATGCTTTTCTATTGCCCTGTGCTTTAAAATATCCAAGATGATATTGGCAGATGGATTTCTCATAAAGCCTAGTTTTTTACATGTGGGAGATGAGATAGTAATTAAAACTGTCCAATAGAGAGGGGAACCCCAAAATTCCTTCTCCACAACCCTCCAACTCTGTTCAACAACATCATAATTTTCATAACAATATGAAAATGACAATGTAAGCTCTAAAACCGGCTTTTCTTTAAAAAGCAAAAGAAATTGTCAGAATGTACTATTTCAGAATAGTCTTTCCAAAGGAGGAGGAGGAAAGAAAGAGAAGGAGGGAAGGAGGAGGAGAATAGAATAGAATAGAATTTTTATTGGCCAAGTGTGATTGGACACACAAGGAATTTATCTTGGTGCATATGCTCTCAGTGTACATAAAATAAAAGATACGTTCATCAAGAATCATAAAGTACAACACTTAATGAGGGAGGCTTGGGTTACAAAATGGCCAGGATCTTCGTAAAAATGCGAGAAGAGAACCTAAGAAGGATTTTGCCACTTTGAGCCAAAATCCATCTTAATCCCACCTCCATCATTGCACCTTCCTGACTCACTCAAGTAGAGCTTGAGTGCAATTGTCCTCTTCTGCCCCTTCTGTTAGAATTATAGAACAATCCATAAGGGTACCTAGGTAATGTTTTTGGTTCAATACTGTCACCTAGTGGAAAATAACCTGTACTATTCTTTTTTAAAAATACAAAACAATATATTTCATCTCAGAAGCATTATTGCTTAACATTAAAATAAACACTATAATTAAAAGATTGTCAAAATAGTTTTCAAGGCAGCATTTAGCCCAGCTTGGCATCATCCCAACAGGGAAAGACACTGATGAATTTTTAAAAATCTGACTTTTTAGATGAATCCAAGCAATTAATTTTGCCATTTATTCATCCATTTATTAATATTGAGCCTGTGATATTGCAGCATAAACAATCTTCTCTTTCCTCTTCCGCCAGATTAAACTGAACAGTGCTGAAAACATGCAAAATCATTTTCATGAAAATCTGTTGTTCTAAATTGACTTAATGATGGGATATAATGATACGTATCTTTAAAATAAATCTGATTTTGCTTCAGAATTTGAGAGAGGAAAAAAATGTTTGTATTTAATGCAGTGAGCTTGCTCTTAAAATTACATTTACTTTTACCTAGAGAATTAAAAATGCTTCCACTAGTAATAATTAAATCCATATTTGCATTAAACAAGTTTAATCTTATCAAATAAAAGTGATATTGATTAAAACACTCATATGGTACCACAAGATGAACTCTCAAATACAGCATTTTTTCAACCTTGGCAACTTTAAGATGTTTGGACTTCAACTTCCAGAATTCCCCTGATGGGACAAGTCTACTTTGGCAAGATTTCTGTCTGAAGGTGAGGAACAATAAAGAAATAAATAAAGAGCAGCTTGCGTCCAGAAGTTGTGGGTGCTCTATCACTGGAGATTTTCAAGAAGACCCCGGACATCATTTATTCAGAATGGGACGGGATCTCCTGCTGCAGCAGGGGGTTGGACTAGAAAACCTTGAAGGTCCCTTCCAACTCTGTTATTCTACATCCTACAAATCTGTTTAGAACAACCACAACATGTTTCTCTTGGGTTTTAGAACCTGACAAAAACAGATGAAAATGCTAGCTCAGTCCAAACATAGGAATGTCACAGTTAAAGACCAAAGAATTTTAAAATTCCTCCTAAAACATCCCTCTCCTGATAAGAGCAATAGGGTTTCATTCATTCTATGGTGGTGGATAGCGATCTCTTCATTAATTGTGCCCTTTCGTTAACCTCGGTGTGGCGAATCTCTGCTTTAGAGCAATGGAGCTTGATCTTCAAAAAAACCCCACAAGAATAAAGCTTGATTCTTCCCAACGGTCCATCAGGAGAGTGAGATTTTTTTTTTTTTGTACATTTTAGTTGGTCAATGTTAATATAAAGTTGGTGAACTTGTTAATGTTAAGATAGTGAATTTGTTAATATTAAGATAGTAGGCTTCAACTCCCAGTATTCCCCCAGCCAGCATGCTGCCTGGAGGAATTTTGGGTGTTGAAGTCCACGCTTCTTAAGATTCCCTAAATTGGGAAACTCTGTGTAGCTAGCTAGTGCATTATTTTTCTCACACACCATCAAATTCATTCAAGCAAACCACCACACACTGGTTTTTCAATTCTTAGAAGTGTCTTTCTTTCTTTCTTTCTTTCTTTTTTCGTTATCCAGTTACAGTATTTGGTAACCCTGGGCAATTCAGCGTTGATCTTCTGTTACACTTGGTGTTTGAGGTAGTTGAGCAGCACTAGTGGGATGTCCAGTTGATCCACAGCTTCGGGATGGTTCTCCAGTTTCATAAATCTTCTGATTGCCAGTCTGCACTGAGACATCAAGGATTTGGGCAATGCTGGAACAGCAGGAGGGAACGGGGAGGAGAGAGAGGCAGTAATCATCATTGCATGGTTAACGCTGCTAAAGATTTCACTCCCTGTAATGCCTTCAAGGTCATCACATCAATAGAAATGAAGAACCATCCATGCTTTGTGGTTTTTGGTCTATGCCCAGCATGAAATCTAGCTGTTCTGTATATGGATTGAAATAGAGCTGTTACAGGCAGAATTGGTTTTTTGGTGGGAAATATGTAAAATAATAAAAGATACTGGAGATGAAAGAGGAAGGGAAGAAGGGCCACCTTGGAGAACATTGGAAGATCTAGGGGGAGAAGGAGAGCAGGGGAGAGGGAAAAAAGAAGAAAAAGTGAACCACCCTTGTTCTACCAACCCTTAAAGTTCACCCCAAGACCCCTAGAAACCTATTCACCTGGAACTCGGGGCAACCAATGTTCATAGTGTCAATGGAGAGTCTCCAACATCCAGGTCATGATTGTCCCAAAGGTGCTTTTCTAAAAGTCAATTGGATTTTTTTGCTTTTTTTTCGTTGAAAATGTTTTGCTTTTCATCCAAGAAGCTTCTTCAGAATATTTTCAAGGAAAACAGTAAGAAAGTCCAGTTGCCTTTTGAAAAAGCATCTTTGGGACAACCATGACCCGGATGATGGAGAATCTCCATAGGTACTCAACTTAATGACTTTAATTAACAAAAACCTATGGAGATTCTCAGTCATCCAGGTTGTCCCAAAGATGCTTTTTCAAAAGGTAACTGGACTTACTTTGTTTTTTTCCTTGAAAATGTTTTGCTCCTCATCCAAGAAGCTGAAAAAACTTCTTGGATGAGAAGTGAAACATTTTCAAGAAAAAAAAACAAGAAAGTCCGATTGCCTTTTGGAAAAGCACCTTTGGGACAAGTACTCATAATTTTGTTACTCTTCAGCTGTGACTGATGCAAAACTGTTTGGCAGAATTTCTAGAAAGGGATGGTCACTTCCATCCAGGCTATAAAGAAAACCAGTTATTCATTTTGTACTTAACCCATAAAGAAAAGTATGGAAAGTATACAGAATGCTGTTGTTGTGAATATAGATTTAGCTATATGTATATGTCTGTCTGGGTTTTTTTTCTTAGCTTATGACTTGAATTGTTTTGGGTGACTCTTTTGTATTCATTTTATGTACCTTGTGTAGTATTGCTTATCTCAGAAACAAATAATGTGATAGGCAATGTATGGAAAGAGGAAGGAAGGGAAGGGAAGGGAAGGGAAGGGAAGGGAAGGGAAGGGAAGGGAAGGAAGGAAGGAAGGAAGGAAGGAAGGAAGGAAGGAAGGAAGGGGAGAAGGAGAGAGATTTTAAGAATCTGCATAACCTTGTATTACATTAAATAAAAGAAAAAACAAGTTACCTCTTTCTCTGGCCAACAGCTCAAGCACTTCAGGGTTTGCTGAGCTCTTCCCCAACATGATGCCAGGCAAGTAGACACTGGCACCAAAATCAATGAGGAGCTTGACAAACTCCACCCTGCAGCCATGCTTCAAGCAGACTTCCAGAAGAGTCTTGGGGTGTTTAATTCGGGTGATCATGTTCCTATCCAAGCAGTTGTAGTTGGGCTCAGCCCCGTACAGCAAGAGGGTCTTGAAGCACTCCAGATGACCATAGACGGTAGACAAATACAAAGGTCCACAGCAGGCCACAGAGTTGGCCGCCCATTCTGGGATTCGAGGTTTGACGTTAGGGTCTGCCCCGTGTGACAGCAGCTCCTGCAGGATTCCCAGGGATCCTTCTCTTGCAGCCGTGAGCAACGGGGTGCAGTTGTTGTGAATGCTCCCAGAAGGACAAGCCCCTGCCTCCAAGAGGACCTTCACACAATCAAGGTGCCCATTGTTGACAGCAACAAACAGTGGTGTCTGGGCCTTGACATCCAAGCTGTCTACTTCGGCTCCGTGGTCCAGAAGCACCTTGACACACTTGACGTGGCCCTTGGAAGCCGCTAGGCGCAGGGGAGTGCCTGGCACCCCCCAACCACTCCGACTGTTGATGACGCGTTTGTAACTCTCTTGGTGCAACAGTTGGTCCAACAGCTGGTAGCTGTCCTGTGACACGGCGAGACTCAGCTCTTGTCTTTCTTTGTCCCCATCTTCATCTTCACTGGGTTGGAACAGGGAGAACATCTTGGTGATATCCAGCAGGCTCATCTTGAATTGTCTCTTGAGGGGGACTTTCATCGTGAATGGTGCTGTGCTGGAAGCTAGGAGTCACACAGATGCTGAGTTAATGATTTGGAGAAAGCACAGTTTTTGCAACCTTGGTCAGGGGTCTCTTGGTGAGACGCAGCTGGTTCACAAGTACCAAACCCAGCATACACTATTTACATGCAAACACAATGTAGTTTCTACGTCTGGATTAATAAATAAATGTATTTCAGGTGGCTTCCCTAGCATTTCCCTACAAAGTAAAGAAAATACTTGGCAACTTTAAGACATGAGGACTTCAACTCCCAGAATTCCCAGCCAGCTGTGCAACAAAGATGACTAGGGGACTGGAGGCTAAAATATATGAAAACCAGTTGCAGGAATTGGATATGTCTAGTTTAATCAAAAGGAGGACCATGAGTGACATGTTTGATTTGGGTATAATTCTTTTTGCCTGGGATCCAGTTCTTCAGGATGCGATGGGGGAGAAGCAGCTGAATGTACTGATAGCCCTCAACTTGCAACCATTTATTTAGCAACCATCTGAAGTTGTGAAAAGAGTGAAAAACATGACTTACAATCTGTCCTTAAACCATTACAGTGTCGTCCCCCCCCCCCACAAGGACTGATGCTGGTGGCAGCATCCTGGAGTCACATGATCACCGTTTGTAACCTTCACAGATGGCTTCCGACAAGCAAGTCAATGGGGGAAGCTGGATTCACTTAACAATCATGCACTTCCTTTAATGACTGTGGTGATTTGCTTAATGACCATGGCAAAAGCAATCACAAAATCAGGCGTAATTCACTTAACCAACTTAGCAATGGAAGTTCTGGTCCCACTTGTGGTTGTAAGCCACGGATGACCTATACCTGTCTCGTCCTGAGCCACAGAATAGAAGCCAAAGTTTGTGTAGCAATAAAATATCTTTGCTTCAATCTCTCTGGGAACAACAGAGGAATCTTAGACAAGAAAAACCAAACATACAAGTACAGATTGCCGTAAGTGAAATCTGCCCCAAAAGCAGTAACTGTGAACTGTGAACTGCCACCTGTCTGAAATGATAGAGCCTCCTGCTCGAGCAGGGGGTTGGACTAGAAGACCCCCAAAGTCCATTCCAACTCTTTTATTTGTATTATTCTATATTATATTTTGGATAGTTCCAGTGATTCTGGCCTGTAACATTTTACAAGCTATTCAATATTCCCAAAGTTGAAGATGCTAGCTAGGATGAAAATTTCTGATAAACAAATCCCTGTTCATCCACAAAGATTTCTTGTGGTCTTGGGAAATTAATAGTTCTTAAACTTAAACTCAGTGCAGAAAATCGAGACACACTATTTCTTAGCTGAAGAGCAAAATACAGGTGAGGATTTTTTTCATGCTCATATGTCAATGTCAGAATTTTTGAAATGCAATCCCTTAATCTGAGGGTTCTGCAAGGAAAACATGTTTAATTCTTTAAAACTGGATTCTGAACAGTTTTACTCCTGTCTAATTTAGCAATGTTTCCATATCTAGGGCCTCAGTGTGTGTTATGGAGCTGCATAACACACCATTTCTGTGGCATAATGGGACTTGTAGTCTAAGACATCTGGTCATGGGGCAGCAGAGGAAGCAGGGAAAGGTTTGAAAGGACAAGGAGAGTTGAAGGCAAGGAGCGATGCTATCATGCTGGGGAAATGGTGACCACATCAAGCCTCCACAGTCTGAATGGATTCACTTATTATACTAATGGTGCTTTGTCTAGTCATAGATTTGCTGAATATGGGTAGTCCTCGACTTACGACCACAATTGAGACCAAAATTTCTGTTGCTAAGTGAGACATTTGTTAAGTAGGTTTTGCCTCGTTTTATGACCTTACTTGCCAGAGTTGTTAAGTGAATCACTTCAGTGGTTAAATTACAGGTAATCCTCAATTTACAACAGTTCATTTAGTGATGGTTCAAAGTTACAACAGCAGTGGAAAAGGTGACTTATGACCAATTTTCATAGTTACAACCTTTGCATCATCCCTATGGTCATGTGACAAAAATTCAGATATTCAGCAACTGACTCATAATTATGACCATCACAGTGTCCCAGGGTCATGTGATCCCTTTCTGAAACCTTCTCATGAGCAAAGTCAATGGGGAAACCAGATTCGCTTGACAACCAGGTTACTAACTTATCAACTGTGGCTTGGAAGGTTGTAAAATGGGGCAAAATTCACTTAAATGTTTCACTTAGCAACAGAAATTTTGGGCTCAGTTGTGGTCGTAAATCAAAGACTACCTGTAGTTACATGGTTGTTAAGTGAGTCTGCCTTCCACATTGACTTTTTTTTATTTTTTAAATTTGATTTATATGCCGCCCTTCTCCGGAGACTCAGGGCGGCTTACAATGCGTTAAGCAATAGCCTTCATTCTTTTGTATATTTATACAAAGTCAGCTTATTGCCCCCACAAACTGGGTCCTCATTTCACCTACCTTAGAAAGGATGGAAGGCTGAGTCAACCTTGAGCCTTGGAGAGATTCGAACCAGCAGAAATTGCAGGCAGCTGTGTTAATAACAGGGTGCACTAAACCCCTGTACTATCAAGGCTCTTAACTTTGCTTATCAAGAGATCACAAAAGGGGAATCACATGACCCCAGGATGCTGCAACCCTCATAAAAATGAACCAGAAGCCAAGCATCTGGATTTTGATCATGTGGCCATGGGGATGCTACATGGATCATCCGGATGAAAAACGGTCATAAATCACTTTTTTTCAGTGCGGTTGTAACTTTGGACTTTCCGGGCACAGTGTGTGGGGCAGAAGCCCTTCTGGCTTATTTGGGTGACAATGACAGAACTCAAAATCCAGGTTAAGAGTGTAAGCGGCCAAAGATCTGCATGTTGGGGTGAGTTTTAATTGGGCCAAATTTATATATCTTTTAATATTTGTACTGTATGTTTTTTAATGCTGGCTGTACACCGCCCTGAGTCCTCAGGGAGAAGGGCGGTATAGAAATTCAATAATAAATACATAAATAAATAAAATAAATGGCTTGAGCCAGGCTGCTGCTCCCCCATTTAAATTGCCGTCAGTTTGGGAGGGGGCGGCCAGCCCTCCCCTCCCCTCCACCTGTCTCCAGGTAACCCCGCTCCAACCCAGCTGCCAGGCCCTGCGCCCCTGTGTGACCCGCCCGCGCCCTCCAGGCCCAGCAAAGCCCCCCGCTAGTCGGAGGAGTCTCCAGTCCCCCCCGGCGGCAGACGATACTCACGAGCTGGTGGCCTTGGGACGGGTTGCCGTGTCGCCCGACGGAGCGTCGCCCGGAGCCACCACCGGCCGGCCCGGCTGTGTCGCAGCCCGGCCTCTGTGAGGTGGCCGGGACCGGCTCGCCCGAGCGCTCGCCTGCCCCCGCGGCCGCCCCGCTTCCTCTCCGGGCGGCGAGAGCCGAGAGCCGTCGAGGCGACACAAGACGGGACGGGACAGCTGCGCCGGGGACGCGCCGCGCTAATTTTAGCCCCGCCGGCTGGGCAGCTTCCATTCTGGGAGAGCCTCCGGCCCCGCGGAGAAAGGCCGGGCCGGGCCTGCGGACGGAGGCAATGGGGATAACTGTGGAGAGGGCAAGATGAGGTCGGGTTGAGCTGGCACTGTGGGGCAATTGACTGGAGGATGGAGAAGCCTGGGGTGAAGATCTCAGATTGAGGTGGCATGCTGTAAACCATGGTTTATGTTGGGAGAACCCAACAGATGGTGGTGTGGATTTAATAAGACAAACACAACTTTTGTGTTTGTGATTAATCAGAGACAATTTGTATATTGCGCAATAGGTTCAAAGCTCTGTAGGTGAAGCGTTGAACAAAGACAGAAATTAGGTACAATGGTTTTTATACCCTTCTAGACAAAGGATTCTCTTAACTCAGCAATTCATATATATATATATATATATTTTAAATTTGATTTATATGCCACCCTTCTCTGGAGACTCAGGGCGGCTTACAATGCATTAAGCAATAGCCTTCAGACTTTTGTATATTTTATACAAAGTCAGCTTATTGCCCCCACAAACTGGGTCCTCAATTTACCTACCTTAGAAAGGATGGAAGGCTGAGTCAACCTTGAGCCTGGTGAGATTCGAACTTACAGTAATTGCAGACAGCTGGTGTTAATCACAATCCTATCAGTCTGCTGAGCCACCAGGCCCAGCATGGGTGGTATATATATATGGTCGTATACATTTGTCATTTTTAATTGACATTTCCTAATTACTGAGTTTCTTTGCAAAACAGTCATAATTCTTTTTGTAGATTACTGAAGCATAGACTCAAATCATCTTCTGACGATAGACAACTTTTAACTCACGTGGATCCCCTTGACCTAACCAACCTTTAAGCTGTATGTCATTAGAATGTTCCTTTCTTCTGACAACTTAGAGGCCTCCTAGAGGTACCAAAAGGATTTTGGCTGAGTTTGTACTTTTTCCAACCGGATGCATTGCTTTTTAGAATAGAGTGAATAGAAAGTTATCCAGTGGTCATCTATCAGAGCCCGCTTCATTTACATTAATGGGGTTGTGTAATAAACCACAAGGAAAAGTGTTAGATAACCATCCAGAGTTCAGCACAACCAGAGCTTGCAGGGTGTCCAGCTTTTAAAAAATTAGCATTTCCAACTCCTTCCTAGACACATCCACATGGCTTTCTCCACTGTAATGCAGAAAAGCTTTGGGGGTTGTTGTTTTTTTTTGGTTTTTTTTTTGAGGTTTGGCTTTTTGTGGAGGGGTGGAGGGGGTGTGTGGAGGGGGTGGCATCCCTTTCTAGCCTACTGCCCTGGGAAATTCTTATTTTTTCTCACCCCTCAGCTGAGAATATTGCAATTGGTGAAGGTTTGTTTGTTTCTTTGTTTGTTTGCCACCCATCTTGCCAGGAGGCATTTACATGACATGACCCACTCAGGGACATTGCAAACATCATAAATTCATGCCAGTGGCCAAGTGCTCCAAATTTGATTATCTGACTTTGGGGACAGGTGCAACAATTGTAAGTGTGAGGACAAATTTTCAATCAATCGGAATAGAGCTGGACGGGACCTTGGAGGTCTTCTAGTCCAGCCCCCTAGGGCCTATACCATTCTGGATAAATGGTTGTCCATTCTCTTTTTTTAAGTCATGTTTTCAGTACTTAAAAAGTAACTTGGAATGGTCATTAAACAACTGGTTTTGTTATTAAACAATGTTACAATTTAATGCAGCGTGCATGCCCAAACATTAAAACACTTACAACACAAGGCATGCAGCTAAACCGAACAGCTGTAAGAGCATCATGATTAGGAAACCCAAGATCAACTGCCTACTCCCACCCCCATCCCAGAAAAAGTATTCTTGGATCCCATCCACAGGATGCCCAATTGGTTTTAAAACCGACCAGAGGTTTTTATCAGAAAAACAAAAGAGGCTTTATCAGTACTTACAATTGATAATGGGCAAACTAAATTAGGCACAGTAAGATGTTCAAGGAGGGAAAAACAAAAAGGCAGAGAGGCAAGATCTAGAGGGCTTGGCTTTTGATTCTGCTTGTTTATTTGGGCTTCCCCTTTGAGATTTAGATACAGATTTTACTCAAGAAGCTTAACTTTAATAGTCTGTATTCCTATTTTACTTACTTTACTCTGCTTACTCATTCCATGTTTATACACTGGATCTCACAGGTATTGTCCTCTGTCTCTTACTTTTTTTTCCTGCTGTTTTTTTTTTTACACCAACCAAAATGAATAAAAACTATATTCTGTCTATTTATCTAGACAACACACACTTTTTATAGGATTCTCTTTTGACCACCGTGCTTCCAAAGCAGCTATAAAATACTCTTGGAGGGGGGGGGAGGCACAAATAATAGCTGCACGACTTTAAAAAAGAACATAAGGCAGTAAGTAAAGTTTGGAAAAGAATGAATTACCATGGTTTATAAGATTACTCATTACATAAAGGAGAAGCACCATACAAATATTCATGTGGTGAGGAGGAAGACCAGAGAAGGCAACAAGGCAGCAGCTATGCAAAAGGATGAAATTAAAAGCAGATGCCAGCGTTCCAGAAAAGCCCAACTCCAAGTAAAGACACGGAAGCAAACATTTTCCAAAGTTCTCTTTACTAGAATAGGCAAACTGGCACATTTGGGAAAACCCAAATCTGAAAAGCCCAGGTTTTCCTTCAGTAAGTCAAAGCTCCCAAAACCACCCCCTTTCCCCCCCCCCCCCGTCGGTCACATGCTCCAATCAATGTCCATTTTTTATTATTTTATTACTGAATTTCTATATTATTGAATCTCTATCGGAATTTCATCCCGATCCAGCCTCCTGATCATTCCTTCTCCAGGTGCTGGATCGCCCTGACCTTGACCGACAGGAAGAATGCTATTATGTCTACTAACCACCCCTCTCCTTAATCCCCCCTCCTACTTTCCCATACATGAGAAGGTGGCAGCATGGAAGCTCCCGGCCTAATATGGCTTCCAAAGCTGACAGCAGATGCAGCCGTGCATGCAAATACCTGGTTGAGCATCATTTATTAGTCACATACAATGGAATTGTATAAAATATATTACAACAGTTAACCAAAAGAAGAAGAAAAACAGTTTAAGACCGCCTTCTCCATCTGGCATTTTTCACATGTATTAGATGACAATCCTGCCATGCTAAGGATGATGGGACCTGGCATCCACAGTTGGATTGGTCCAAACCAGAATCTGTTCTCTGGATTCTCTGCTAGCACTGTAAAAGTTCTAGCTAAGAGGGTCTCTTACAAAGGGTGTGTAAGATGTCTGAAGTGGTACAACTGAAGCACAGTCAACTCATACAGGTAGTCAATCCTACAACCACAATTATCTGTTGCTAAGCGAGGCAGTTGTTAAATGAATTTTGCATCATTTGCAACTTTTCTTGCCACAGTTAAGTGAATCTGGCTTCCCCATTGACTTTGCTTTGCTCAGGTGGTTGCAAATGGTGATCACATGACCCCCCGGACACTAAACTGTGTTAAATATAGGTAGTCCTCAACTAACAACAATTCATTTAGTGACTGTTCAAAGTTACAACAGCACTGAAAAAAGTGACTTGTGACCATTTTTCACGATTGCAACCTTTGCAGCATCCCCATGATCATGTGACCAAAATTAAGATGCTTGGCTCATACTTATGACCGTTGCAGTGTCCCAAGATCATGCGATCTATTTTTGCGACCTTCTGACAATCAAAGTTAATTAGAAAGCCAGATTCACTTAATAAGCTGGTGACTCACATAACTGTGGCAAGAAATGTTGTATAATGGGGCAAAACTCATTTAACAAATTCTCACTTAACAACATAAATTTTGGGCTCAATTGTGGCCCTAAATTGAGGATTACCTGAACATGCCAGTTACCACGTGTCTGAATTTTGAAGGGATGCTGCAGTGGTCTTGTGTGAAAAACATAATAAATCACTTTTTCCAGTGGTGTTATAACGTTGAACAGTCACCAAAAAGATGGTTGTAAGTTGAGGAGTACCTGTACTTTTTTTGTTGTTTCAACTATTGTTAAGGTGGGCGTCATTGCTCATGTACTTATTCTGATATTCCTGCCCACAGAACCTTCCACAGGGCAGAAGGAGCGACTCAGTGTCTGCTCTTATTCCTTTCATGGGTGATAAGAAGAGTCATTACTCCCAGAAATAGCTTGGAGGGGGTCTCCTCAGAGCACTTTGCTCTTGAGTTATCTAAGGAAACTTAGCTCAAAAACTGAGGACTTTTTCAGACTTTGTGATATTGTGAATTGCCACCAAAGTGATTGTAGGGTGGACTTGTCAAGGCAACCAAGAAGATGAGAGTTGATACTGTCATGAGGCGGAGTAGAGCTATGGAGAAATTGGACACTTTTCCATCTCATGTTCCGATACCCATGAATATTGTTTTGTTAGTCATACATGAAGAGAAACATTTTCAAACCAGAAAATGGGAAAGAAATTAGAACATCTGTTCCACATCATATTGTCTTTGTCAGATCTTCTGCCATATCCCTTTTCCTACTGCTTCTTCACAGATACCTAGACAGAAGGTCCAACCCTTCCAAATATGTATTTATTAAATTTATTTGCCTCCTATCTCACTGTGGAGCTACTCTAGGCAGCTTACAGCAATAAAAAGGAAGAAAGGAAGGAAAAAAGTGTAAACAAAGCATAAGTAAAATAACAAAACAATAAAACATTGAAAAGAGAAAATGAGAAAACATCAATATAATAACAAAAGTTGTTCCTTCTTTATAGGTTGTCTGAGAGAAGAAAGATAGAGGAAGTGATGAGGAAATATGGCAAAGAAAGAAATAGAAGTTGCTAGCAATGCCAATTGCATGAATGGGGGAAGTTGATTACCCAAACAAAAGCGTGGGTAGAAGCAGCAAGGCACACTTAAGGGCTTACATCATCATTTTTGCACAGATTCTCCTACAATCTTCCAGATTCTAGGAGTCTGGGCTCTAGGAGGCCACAAAGACATGAGAAAACCACATGCAATCTTGGGCTGTATATACCTGATAGGTGGGCTGCATCACACGGACCTTCCTTCCATCCTTGTTCTCTGGGTTTCTAAAACACTGTTGTGGTTTCCCATTTACCTCCAAAGTTCTCCAGTCTCACCCTTCCCAGTGAGGCGTTTGCACTGTGTGGGAGAGCAAAGAGCAAACCAAAAGGAGGATTTAGAAGCCAGCTAACCTTTTCTGGTTGTTAATAGGATTCATAAGACTAACAGTTCTACCACACAAGCCCTGAATCACAATCCAAGTATGAGTTGGCCAGGCTGTTCTCAAGTCTGCAACACATCTAAAAGCATTTGAGTGGGTAGCTTTAGTACTTCCATTAATGTGCAATTTTCTCCTTCAGTGCCAGAAGTTGGAGAAATGTTATTCTCCAAAGAGCTGGTCCATGTTGGATGTCTGCAGTTGCAGCTCATGTCCTATAGGGGGCATGATAGAATAGCACATTCTGGAATCCAATGCATTTGATGTTAGGGATTTATATGCTGCATTATTATCTTTCTCCAAAGAATAACTTTGCTCTTGCTCATTTAAATGGACAAATACAGGAAAAGCTTTCCTGTTGATCTCCATCATGTAGGTCCACACAGTCCAATGCCAGTTCTGTTTCAAATGTAGGGTATTTTCATGCTATGATAACAACTGCATCCCTAATTTAGAAAAATAAGCAAGTGTCTCGAGCACATTATCACTAGCGTCTCCATGATTATCTCAGCATTTGGAGAGCACAGTCCGTGACACCAGATGCCTGAAATATTCTAAATAAAAGTAGGTATGTTAAGCACAGCTTCTTGGCTTCTAGAGATACGATACCAATTTTTTTTGGTTACACTATGAAAGAGGCTTGCTATTGCTTTCAACATCCCCTAGTGCTCTGTCCAAGCATTAATTCCAACCCTGCTTGCCGGTAGCTTTTGAAGATCAACTCAATGTGAGATTGGAGCCAAATGAAGTACAGAAAACTTACGTTGCACCTTAAAGCTTAAACTCGATAACATGATTTAAGGTTTTAAAATAGCAGTATTGATATGATTCGTGTCACCAGATATTGACCCACAAATTTAATACCAACCAAATTCCAAATGTTGGGATTACAGTTCCTATCAACACGAAGCAAACTGGTTCACTACGGGAGGCGAAGGGAATTGTAGTCCCATCTATACTGGGAGTGGATGGTGTAATATTTGTCTATCAACTTAGTGATTTTGGTGTATAAATCTATTTTATTTTAGTGATGACATTTATCTTAGGAGGGAAAAGTGCTGAGTAATACTGAATGAATAATTAGATACTGAAATATTAAGCAGGATCAGGCTTGGTTAGTTCTTTTTAGAGAAGAGTCCACCAAAAAATGCTAAGACTGAAACTAGTCTGGGAAATATGCAACAAAATCAGAATCAATGCAAAATAAAAAAACACAAAAATCAGAGTCCATATTGCTGCTAAGATAACTGATTGTGCCCATGGAGTCATGAACTGAATTGAGTACATCTTTACTCTTTTCTTCAGAGTCAAGTTAGAGACCGATTCCTGAAAAAACTAAAAAAATAGCTTTTTGGCAGAGATGCAGATGTGGGGACAGATCAACCAAATATATTTTTCAGAAATCCATTTTCTCACATATTACAAGCAAGGAAACATTGTTTTGATGGGTTGGAGTGAAAATCTCATAAACCCTCTCTGTGGTAGTCCACCACCATTAATGATTAGAGCTTCAGCAAATGACTTCTGTGAGACAGATGTAATTCACTTTTTAAAAAAAATCAAACAAATGCAAAGTGACATATATTTATAGTGCAGAAAGGCCAGGAATATTTTTAGACCAATTCTCAGCTGCTTTACCTCTCCTTCAAAATGTGCGCCCACCCAAGAATCTCACTCCCACAAAGATCCACAAACTGAGAGGCTGCACAAAGAGAAGGAGGAAGCTGGGTTCATTTAACAACTATATGATTCACTTAACAACTGATTCTCTTAACAAGCATGGCAAAAAAAGATTGTAAAACCGGGTGTGGCTTATTTAACAACCATGTTTGCTTAGCAACAGAAATTCTGGTCTCAGTTGTGGGTGTAAGTAGAGGACCACATGTATAGATAAATGTTCATTTGAGTTTCACAATACAAAGTAGAACAGTAAAACCCAGCAATGAAAATCTTAAACTGAACCCAGTCTTCTGCATTAGTCTTCTCTATTCAATAATGCACATAAAATAAGACTGTCCTATATCTTGGGGAAAAAAATAACTGATGTTAAACTTCTGAGGGCCAGTTTTAAGCATGATAATCTGCCACAGAGGCTCTAGTGCAGGGCTGTCAAACTTGCATCGTCACAACGGTGTCATGTGACGTATGACAAAGGACTTTTTTTCCTTTGCTAAAGCGGGAATGGACGTGGCCAGCGTGTGACACATCCGGCCTGTGGGCCGCAAGTTTGACAGCCCTGCTTTAGTGTAAGGTTTTTCAAACTAGGTTCCAGGGGACTAGATGTAAAAATAGAAACTTTCTCTACAAGGACTTAGGTAAAACTATCCAAAGCTAGGAGTTCAGAGTACAGTTTAGCCAGTGGAATGGGTAGAAGGTGAGTCTCATTAGAAGGTCCCTGTCCTTCTTTCCACTCCAATTCTGACTGTGGGAAGGGATCTCTTCTAGACTGAAACCATATTCAGTCTCATAATAACGTTGTGGTGGCACAAAGTGAACTCTATCAGCACAATGACCAGTGAGGGGCCCCCATGAAGAGCCTCCTGCACAACATTCAAGATACAGAATAAACGAGATGGAAGAGTCTCTGTAGGTCTTCTAGTCAAGCCCCCTGCTCAAGAAGACCCTATATCATTCCAGATGAATGGTTGTCCAATCTCTTCTTCAGAACCTCCATGATGGAGCCCCCACGATTTCTGGAAGCAAGCATTCCATTAATTGTTCATACTCAACCTCACAATTTCTTCTTAGTTCTAGGTTGGATCTCTCCTTGGTATGTTTCATCCATTACTTCTTGTTCTGCCCTCAGCTACTTTCCTGTTTCCCTTAGCAACTGGGATTGAAAGGACAAATTGACTTGATACTGGAGACTTACATGACCATCATGACTAAGAGCCATTTAATGGCCTTCTCAGAGCTTTGAGTAACCTTTAATCATCCCAATCTCAGCACTGTTGTGGCTTTGAATTTTGAGGCCAAGACACACTCTACCATGAAGGAGAATGTTCTCCTTCAAGTACAGGTAATCCTCAATTTATGACAATTGAGCCCAAACTTTCTGTTGCTAAATGAGATGCTTGTTAAGTGAACTTTGCTCCATTTTACAACTTTCTTGCCATAGTTGTTAAGAATGTTCTATGGCGAGGACAAAAAAATCCTTTTCATAGAAAAACTCAACTGTGAAAAAGTCCTTTCTGGGATATGTACTGGTCTCAGAATGTCTTCAAGGCTGATCTTATTTAAAATGTTCTCAAATACAACACTGATCCAAGAAACTATCTCTGACTCATTTTAGAAACGCGAGGAATTTATTATTTTCATAAGAAATTTAAAAAAAACAATACTTACAAATTTAATTTACCATAAGACTTGCAGCAATATATCTTTATATACATAACTATAATCTCCTAATATTTTTACTTTTATTTTAGCAGGGCTTCAAGTGGACTCATGACACACATTCAGGATGAGTTATCAAAAGTCTCTGATTGCCCAGTTTTAGACAATCTTGCAAAATGAAAATACAGCCAGTCAAACTTTATAGGGACTGTAAAAATATTTCAGCCTTGATATGCAACACAATTTTAACTATCTGCAAAAGGAAACTGGTGAACCTTTTGAAAAGAAATCTCTGTATGTTCACTTTAAAATTTGTTAGGCCTTGGAGTACAAAAAACATCACAGACATCAACAAGGATGTTGTTCGACAATACGGACACATATAACAACGCAAATCCTTTGAAATGGACAGGCAATCATGCAGCTGGTAAAATTCTCTTCCTGCACTATTGTGAGTTCATCAGATGATTTAAGTTTACTGGGATGCTATAACCAAAAATATTTCAGATATTTTGCTCACAAGCCATTCAAATCACAACAATAGGCAAACTGCATAATAGTATTCCAGGGAATTTTGAAGTGCCGCAATGAAGACAATGATGGTGTGAGCATGTGCATACACACATACGTGTACACACGCTTCCTTGAAAGAAGGTTGCTAAACACTGTCCTCTGAAATGCACTTATACTTTCTGAAAGCTGCCTGATTCCAGGATTTTGTCCTGCAAGGATTCAAGTCCATTTGCTTTCATAAAGAAGACAGTATTTCCATGAAGGGCTGTGTGCGCGAAATGACATCCTGAAACTGAGCACCAGAGGCAGCTGAAGAGCAATGGCTGACTTTTTCTAAGAAACATCCACATAGTTTGGAACAAGAACGCTGAGATGTTTCTCCTTAGGAATGTCATTTGCTTTACTAAAAAAAACCGGGGAATGTTACTGTGATCTGATCCACTGATGCAGCAGAAAATGGAAGATACAGTATAGATGTGCAGGATTTTTGAAGCTGTAAGCTAACTCAGAGCTGGAATTCTTGATTCAGGGATGTTCTCAAGTGTGTTTTATCTTCTCTTTTCATAAAATCCACTTTCAGAGAATATTAAGGGTGAAGGCTTTTTTTTTGCCCAAGAAGTTTTTTCATCTGCGTCACTAAGCAGAAAGGAACATAGATTCTGCATGCGGTGGACTTCAGAGCCAGAGGCCTCGTGCTGTCTCTGCTCAGTGTTTCCTTGCTGGCATTAAGCCCTCCCCTAAATAACAAAACAGGAAGTGTGGGTTTCCTTTTGGTTCAAAACATGCATGAAACATGCATTCTAGCCCAGGTCAGACTCTTAGTGAAGCTTCAGACAAGCGCATTATGCACAGCTGTTCAATTTGTGGAGGCTTTGCTGCTAAGGAGGAGCAGGTCCATTCTGATAATTAGGTAGGATATTCTCGAGTGCTTGAGCAGAAAGCAGTCTGGCACTTAAACCAAGGAAGATGCTTGATAACTTGGATAAAGTAAGAGAAGGAATTGCAGAACCTGGGGGCGGGGTTAAAAGAGGGATCAGCCTAGAATCCCTATGTAGCCACAAGCGGACTTAGTCTTTTTAAATTCTTCCCCCAGGTTCTGACACGTCTTCTCTTACAGCCAAGTTCTCCAAAGTGACACCAGATGATAAATGAACCATCATATTTGCAGATGCCTTAAGTTTTTATCCTAACATGCCACAAACACATTCAAGGCCATGGACCGAGAAGAGAGGGAACGACAAGTAAGAAGGCAGGGCCTGCTCAGGAGAGTTAAACAAAAGACACAAGAGACAGGAAGTCCTGCAAAGACAAAAACCCCCACACTCCAAATACTGCATCACAACAATCAAAGTCACCTTGCCAACAGTTGGACCAAATGAGAATTCTAACTTTGTAAAGCGAAAGGGGCTCACAGAAAGATGAGGGGGGCTACCCAGAAGCGACCCTGCCCTCCAGTAGGAGTTGGGAGCACCCTTTTGAAATGCATTGATGCAGGCATCCTTTATCTATCTAAATTCTCCCCCCCTTAAAAAAGATAACCTGCCATGGAACCCAACAACAGCATCAATTGGCCGAGTGCACATCTGGTCCCCCCCCCCAAATGTTTGGGAAATCTTTTTGACTTGAATGAACTGTGGCAGCCCCTAACTCAACGTCATCCCCAACCTTTGGGAGTTTGCCCCAAAGTCCCCACTGGGCTCTGTCCTCCTCCACTTTGAGAACACAGAATACAACACTAAGCCACATGTCAGTGAGCTGGTATTCCCAGCACAGAGTCACGGATCTCACAGACTTTATTGCCCCTTTGCTATGACTCTTCCAGCAGAGGTGGAGGTCCAGCAGCTTCAGGCCCTCTGGAGATCTGCTTGATCACTGCCCCAGAGAGGCACGCTGTGGATGGTGGTTGGGCTGCAGCCGTTGCCATTTGGGGTGTCGGGAGGAGGGAGATCCAGTTGGCTCATCACCTGCCCGTCTGGTCTGTCGCCTTCTCTCCCACCGATAGTGCCATTGGCCAGCAGCACAGGGGTGTCATAGTCCTGGGGGCTGTTGACCATAGGGGAAATGGAACTGTCTACCGAAGAGGCAACCCCTTTGGAGAAGGCAGGTGTTTCATTTGGCAGGAGCCCATCCGAGAGAGATAATTTCTGCATGGGTAGAAAGGAAGAATTAGAAAAGAGCTAAATCATAGGGATAAAAAAAATGGGAATGTTGGTAAAACAAACAGAAAATAGGGAACTTAACTCCACCATGGGAAAAGTTATTGTTTGGTATTTTTCTGCAACTGGATGAGCACCTATGACTCCCAAGGCAGAGAGAAGCGATACTTATCTCTTTGTGTGTGTGTCTCTGTCCTTCTCTCCAACACACACAAAGAGAGAGGTGGCACTTCTCATGCCTTTTTATTCTTTAAGATTTATATCCTGGCTTTTTCCCCCAGAGCTTCAGATGGCTTACTTGAGGAATCCCTTAGATTTGTGCTCTTAGTAGCTTACAATAATATTAAATATTAAGTACTACTATGAACCATCGTGACGCAGCAGTTAGAATGCAGTATTGCAGGCTAACTCTGCCAACTGCCAGGAGTTCAATCCTGACCGGTTCAAGGTTGACTCAGCCTTCCACCTTCCAAGGTCAGTAAAATGAGGACCCAGATTGTTGAGGGCAATGTGCTGACTCTGTAAATCGCTTAGAGAGGGCTGCAAAGGACTGTGAAGCAGTATATAAGTCTAATGCCTATTGCTATTGCAATAGGCAATTGTACAATAAAAACCATCAAAATTCTACAAAAGAGCCCAAAAGGTCCCAGATAAAAAACTGAAATAAATAAAACCGGAAAACCAACCAACTGGTGCTTTTCAGCCCCTTCTTAATTTATAGTAAAGAAGGAACTGGTCTCGTATAGTCCAAACCAGAGATAAGGTTGAATGAGATGCTAATGTCTCCCTGTTATTTTTCTTCTAGATACAATTTTGGGATTCTTCTGCCTCTTATGATGCAGAATAGCTGAAGAGATGTTGCAAAATGAAGTTGGGGGTTCAAGCAGTATCAGGTGCACTCCACTCACCTGTTCCAGGTCTGCAGCATTGTTTTCCAACTGCAAATTCTGGCTGGTGCAGCTAAGCAGATGATCCAGAATACATTGCTTGGGATGCATCCCTTTATCAAAACGGTTATACATGCCACACCAGAACCTCAGAGAGAGAAAATAACAGAAAATGTCATTGAAATGTTCAAATCTGCAAGAGAAGGGAGCAGGAGAAAGTTCTCTTCTTTGCTCTTTGCTAGCTGGGGAATTTTTGGAGTTGAAGTCCACACGTCTTCAAGTTGCAAGATCAAGAATCACTGCCTTAAAGGAAGAAGCAAGTTTAATTCCAATAGCTCTGATATAATCAAGCTACAAGCTTGGAAGAAGGAACCTGGTTTCTTTTCTGCTATCCAACACCAGGATCAACTTACATTGTATTTGGATCCAGAGTCTGATAACCATCAATCTTAGATGAGTTAGTTATTGCTAACCTAACTTCAGTTTGTCATAAATGGCAGCAGAATTTCCAGCTAAATGAAAAATGGGTTGACATAAAAATCTTGTTTCAGACAAAGAATGGCAATTGCACCTTATTACAGTCCATGAAGCAAACAGCTGCATAATTTGGAGATCCGGTATGTGATTTTAGGCTACCTTGGGATTGTACAGTTGCTTCATTGCCTAGAGATTAAATTCTCCAGATATTAGAGTAACCTTTGGGGATGCTTTGGCCATAAACGTTGATTAATTTGGCCAAACTTGATTAATCGGTAAATAAACATTTTCTACCATTGCATCTACCTCCTGCTTCCCTTTTCTTATGCTATAATCTCAAAACCTTTAAACCAGAGTTACAACCCAAGCAATTATTTGTATTTAATGCTGGTTACCTCAAAAAAAAGAGAGCTGTTATGGCATAATGGTTAGAAAAGCAGCCCTGCAGGATGACTCTGCCCACTGCCAGGAGTTTGATCCTGACTGGTTCAAGGTTGATTCAGCCTTCTGAGGCTGGTAAAATGAGGACCCAGATTGTTGGGGACAAGAGAACTCAGAGAGGGCTCTAAAGCATTGAAGAGCAGTAAAGTCTAAGTGCTATTGCTATTGTTACAGGTCGTATTTGACTTACAACAGTTCACTTAGTGACCATTTGAAGGTACAACACCGGAAAAAGTGACTTACGACCATTTTTCATCTTCATCTGCGCTGTGGTGGCACAGTGGTTAGAATGCAGTACTGCAGACTACTTCTGCTGACTGTCAGCTGCCAGCAGTTTGGCAGTTCAATCCTGACCAGCTTGAGGTTGACTCAGCTTTTCATCCCTCCAAAGTTGGTAAAATGAGGACCCAGATTGTTGGGGGCAAGATGCTGAGTCGGTAAACCACTTAAAGAGGGGTGTAAAGCCCTGTGAAGTGGTATATAAGTGCTACTGCTATTGCTATCTTTATGACCGTTGCAGCATCCCCATAGTCACATGATCAAAATTTGGATGCTTGGCAACTGTGTCATATTTCCCACATTTGCAGTGTTCTGGGATCATGTGATTCCCTTTTGTGACCTTCTGACAATGTCAACCATGTTACCAATTTAACAACTGCAGTGATTCACTTAACAATTGTGGCAAGGAAGGTCATCAAATGGGCCAAAACTCAATAACAGAAATTTTGGGATCTATTGTGGTCATAAGGCAAGGGCTACTTTGCCATATTGGTGGTTCAAAAGTGACTAGATTCAAACAAGCCTTAAGAACTTATTCCGAAACTATAAAAAGCAGAGTTTCTCCTCTCTAACAAGATCACTTTCCTGAGATCTCTTTCTTGATCTGCTGTTGATTTAATATTTCATAAACATTAAGCAGCATGCACAGCTTCTCCTTTCCCCAGTCGTAACTTACTGGAAACTGAGCGGAAGCGTATTGGGCTGGAGAGACGTGTAAGCAGTGTATCCCTTGTAGATTGGATTTCTGAATTCCAGCTTCCTCTGAAGAAGAAAAGGCCACAGGGAATGTGTTTTCTCAAAGATTCTGCAAATAAGAGAGCAAAGAAGAACATCAGCACAACTGAAAAACATCTCTCAATGATTGGGGAACCTCTCATTTAGATTATAGGGAACCAGCCTTGGAGATTGTACAATATCAAATAGTTAAATAGTTCAAAAAAAGGAGGGCAAAGTATCAATGGTACTTTTAATTGCCATTTCTTCTCACTTTTTCACCACTCATTGGAGTTGCAGAGAGATTCTTTATGATGAAGTTTCAGGACAGACAGAATCACAGAGCAAAGGGCCTTCATTCTTATTTGTTTCATCTGCTAAGCCAGTGTTTCTCAACCTTGGCAAAGTAAAGATGGGTGGACTTCAATCCCCAGAATTCCCCAGCCAGAATGCTAACTGAAAAACAGATAGTCCTTGACTTATGAACTTAATGGAGCCTGCCCATTAGGGTTGTAAATCAGGATGATTGTAAACGGGTTGAAACCTTTTTTTGCTGTGGTCACTAAGTGAATGCAATGGTATTAAGCAAACCCACTGTTTGCTATATTTACAACAAAAACATTGTAAATTATAATCAGGTGACTTTAGGATGCTGAAAGCCACAAATGAGGGCCAGATGCCAAGCAGCTGAAATGTGGTCACATGACCATGGGAGGCATCAGAACTGCATTGTAAGACCTTTATTTGGGGGGTGGGGGAGATGTTCCATCGTAACTGAACAGTCACTAAGTCACCGGTCACAAGTCAAGGACTACCTGCACCAAGCAAAGATCCGCTCCAAATTATTTTCTTGGGATCCACACTTGGGACAAATCCAAATTCTGGTTTAAGAGACTTGCTAAACTAGGTTAAAACATTATCTCTCTAACTTCCTGCTTCCAACCCGATGTATCCAAGGACCCACTTATTTCCTAGCTGTGGGCATTTCATGAGACTCTTTTCTTCCATGAATTTGTCATTAAAACTTTCTAAAATGGTATATGTGGATGCAGTAGGAACACTGCATGTAGCTCTACAGAGCCCACACCAAAGCTCACTTGTGTGCCACACATTTACATGCACCAAACTTTCCTTCTCCAAAATGATAGAGAATTTTGCTCTTAATGTTAATAGCAATAGCACTTAGACTTATATACAGCTTCACAGTGCTTTACAGCCTTCTCTTAAGTGATTTACAAAGTCAGCATATGCCCTTAACAATCTGGGTTCTCATTTTACTGACCTTAGAATGAAAGAAGTTTCCATCCATTACTTCTTGTCCTGCCCTCAGCTACTTTCCTGCATCCCTGAGCAACTGACATCGAAAGGACATATTGACCTGGTACTGGAAATTTTGGTGACCATCATGACTAAGAGCCATTTAATGGCCTTCTCAGATCTTAGAGTAACCTTTAATCTTCCCAATCTCAGCACTGTTGTGGCTTTGAATTTTGAGGCCAAGACAAAACTCTACTAGTGCATGAACAGAATGTTCTTCTTCAAATACAGGTAATCCTCAATTTATGACCACAATTGAGCCCAAACTTTCTGTTGCTAAATGAGATGCTTGTTAAGTGAAATTTGCTCCATTTTACAACTTTCTTGCCATAGTTGTTAAGTGAATCACTGCAGTTGTTAAGTAAGTAAGAAGGTTGTTAAGTGAATCTGGATTCTCCATTGACTTTGCTTGTCAGAAGGTCACAAAAGGTGGTCACATAACCTCAGGACACTGTAACCATCATAAATATGAGTCAGTTGCCAAGCATATTGCGCCTAACAATCTGGCTCCTCATTTTACCAACCTTAGAAGGATGGAAGGCTGTGTCAATCTTGAGCTGGAGAGAATCGAACTGCTGGCAGTCAGCAGAATTAGCATTCTAACCACTGTACCATCACGGCTATTCCATGAAACAGAGGGAACGCAAGATTCTGGTTATAGGACTCACTTTAGATCTTCTCGATCCTTCTGACAGGTCCCTAGGAAGTTGCCAAACTGGCAGGAATAGACGTGATCGTGAATTTCAAGAAGCAGCCGCTCATTGAATTCAAATGCACAAGGAAACTGTTGCATGAGCTGCCAGGTGCATTCAAGGAACTGTGTGAAGATGGGAGACACCTCCTTGGGATCTCCTTCAAGATGGCCACACCTGGAGAGACCAAAAAACAAGCAGCAGCAATGCAGTGATTGTGGTGCTGATCTTTTTTTTTTTTGCAAGTGCTTGCAGGTAGTCCTCGGCTTATAACCATTCATTTAGCGACCGTTAAAGGAAGTTAATTACCAAAATAAATTATTTTATATTGCAGTCAATCCTGTTTTCTCACTGCTGGATGGTGCAGCAAGGTTACTGGAACTAAATTGATCTCAGGTGCTCTAGGACCTAATGCAAAATAAATATAGGTAGTCCTCGTCTTATGATCTTAATTGGGACCAGAATTTTCAGTCCCAAGTTGCTGTGATTGTAAGTTGAGTTGGAGCCAATTTTACAATTTTTATGACAATCATTAAGGGAATCGCCACAGCTGTTAAGTGAATCCTGCTTCCCCAATGGTCATTATTTGCTGGAAATCTGCAAAACAGATTGCCAATCATGATCACGTGATCGCAGGATGCTGCAACCAGTCATAAATCCAAACTGGTTGCCAAATGCCAAGTTGCAATCATGCGACTGCAGCGAGGATGTGATGGTTGCAACTGCAAACATAAGTTGTAAGTCACTTTTTCCGAAGTCGTCATAACCTGGAGCTATTGCTAAAGGAATAGTCCTAAGACAAGGACTCCACAGGGGTTCCCCAATCCACCCTTTTTTTCTGTTCTAAACAGATTCTGTAAAAACTGCAATGCAGAAGTCAATCCCGCTTTGCTGAAAGGTATGAAATGAGATTAAGCGAGCACAAAAAGAGCCAGTAAAGCGAAACTGGAGAAGAGATAAAAAGATGAAAAGATGAAGGAAGGGGGAACTAATCCCTTTTAAGTGCTAGTTTCAGCTGTCCCTAAATAATTTGAGTTTTCCTCTCCACCAGCAATTTTCCAACCGCTGGAATAGCAGAAGAGTTGGAATATTCTTTTCCAAATAATAATTTTAATTAAAGACTTTCTCAGGCATCAAAGATAAACAAAAAGTGAAATTAAAAAAGAAGTAAAATGAAAAAGTGAGAGAAGTATAAGGAAGAAAAGGCAATAGAAACAAGAATGGGAAAATATGTAATGACTCCGAATTTCTTTTACAGCAGTAAAAGCAAATCTTCTCACTTCCCTCTTCAAAATTACATATTTCCCTTCTTCCCATTATCCAACCCTTTTTAAATCAGCAAATCCATAAATTGGCAAAACCTTTCCCCCCCCAGTTCTCAGCAATAGGTTGATAAAAAATATCCAGACTTCAATAAAAGTACTTGTTATCTTATCTCTGATCAAACAAGTCAATCTTATAATTTCTCAGTTTAGGAGCTGTTTCGTTTTGTTAATCATGCTCCAAACAGGATGAAAAGCAGACCTCTTATTCTACATTTATAATTCTAACACACAAACCTGTTTTTACCTGTGTGAGAATTTATGGCCCATCGCAATCCACTCCTTCTCTATCAGAACCTTTAATGTTAAATGAAAGAGGGAAAAAAACAGAAATATGGCATTATAATGTGGCTTTATTTATAGAATTCAAATCCTACTTTTCAATCAAAAACAATGGAAGAGAACAGATGTAACTCAGGATTGAAGTATGGGATCCTTGGCGCTCTCTGATTTTGATGAAGACATTTCATTACCCAACCAGGTAACATCATCAGTGCTTGTAAGCATGTAGTTTGTCCTGCCACTGTTATTGAGAGTGTGGTTTTAATTTAATTTTAATTTAATTTAATATTTAAATTTATATATCGCCCTTCTCCCAAAGGACTCAGGGCGGTGAATAGCCAGAAGTAAAAAACATCAGATACAAAATTTTAAAACAATTTAAAAATAAATTAAACATTTTGGCCCGACAGTTAAAATCCCCCATTAAAAATCCAAATTAAAATACATAATTGGAGAGATTAGGCCAGCCCGACTTGATGAAATAAAAAGGTTTTGAGGGCCCGACAGAAAGTACGTAAGTCCGGAATCGTCCGTATCGCCGGGCGGAGCTCGTTCCAGAGGGCAGGTGCTCCCACAGAGAAAGCTCTCCCCCTGGGGGCCACCAGTCGGCATTGTTTGGCCGACGGCACCTGGAGGAGCCCCACTCTGTGGGAGCGTACTGGCCGGTGGGAGGCTCTCGGTGGCAGAAGGCAGTCCCGTAAATATCCAGGCCTTAAGCCATAGAGCGCTCTAAAGATGGTCACCAACACCTTGAATCGCACCCGGAGGACCACCAGGAGCCAGTGCAGCTCACACAGGAGAGTGTTACATGGGAGCGCCATGACGCTTCCATAATCACCCGCGTGGCCGCATTCTGGACCAGTTGGAGCCTCCGGGTGCTCTTCAAGGGGAGCCCCATGTAGAGAGCATTGCAGTAGTCCAGGCAGGAAGTGACGAGGGCATGAGTGACCGTGCGTAAGGAGTCCTGATCCAGAAAGGGACGCAACTGGCGAATCAGGCGAACCTGATAAAAAGCCCCCCTGGCCATGGCCGTCACATGCTCTTCTAAAGACAGCTGTGCATCCAGGAGGACACCCAAGTTGCGAGCCCTCTCTGTGGGGGCCAACGACTCGCCCCCAATAGTCAGAGATGGCACCGACTATATCGGAACATCGGAAGCCACAGCCACTCGGTTCCGCCTTCCTGCGGCGGGGTGTAGTGCTTTGAAGGTCAAGTTGAAGGAGAGAATGGTCAGACCATGACAAGGGTTTAATCACTACATCCTCTATATCTAAACCATTCAGCCACTGGCCAGAGATGAAAACCAAGTCCAGAGTGTGTTCCCCTATGTGTGTAGGGCCATGAACTAACTGGGTCAGGTCCATAGCCGTCATGGAAGCGATGAACTCCCGAGCCGCCTCAGACATTTCACCGACGGACGGCAGGTTGAAATCCCCCATAACCATAAGTCTGGGGGTATCAACCGCCATCCTGGCTATCACGTTGAGCAGTTCAGGCAGGGCCGCCGCCACGTGGCAGGGAGCCAGGTACATGATCAGCAGGCCCACCTGCACCCCAGGACCCCACTTCACAAAGAGGGACACACATCCAGTTATCTGAGGCACAGTGGCCTCCTTCGGACCAAGACCTTCCTTTATAACAACCGCTACCCCCCCCGCCCATCCCCTGAACCCTCGGCTGATGGAATGCTTGGAAGCCTGGTGGGCACATTTCAACAAGGGGAACCCCCCCTCCTGGCCCAACCAGGTCTCCGTAATACCCGCCAGGTCCACTCCCCGCTCTTGAACAAGATCACAAATGAGGGGGGCTTTATTTACAACGGACCTGGCGTTGCACAACATCAGCCGAAGACCTAGGCCCTGAGGATCTGCGCAACCCGGGGAATGAGGAGCATTGGGGGCTGGAGCGCGCCACCGCTTGGAGACAGCGGGTGCGCGCCCCCATAACCGGATATGGCCCCCTGCTCCTGCCATATCTGTCCCTCCCACTTACAGTACTGATGGTATCGCTCTCCTCAGTACGGACTCTAACCCCCTCATTGACTCCGAACCCCGCACCCCCCGTTACGAAGCCCACTGTCGGACCCAGCCTCCCCCTCAGTGGTTTATCCCCCAAACCCACAACCCTACCCCCCCCCCAGAACCCCTAAAACTTGGGGTTTTCTCCTTGGTACCAGTAGGTCCTTGATTAGGGTATTGTTTTCTACTTGATTATTAGTCTGGTGTTAATCCTTGCTTATCAGATGTTGATTGCAGCAGAAGATGTGTTCTGTTTTTTTTTTTTTTTGTTTTGTTTCTTCTTAGCTTTTTCTAGTCTCTTTTGAATAATGCGTAAATGTGCTTTATCTCTAGGTGTCTATTGATAGTTGATATGTCTGAATATCAAGCTTCCAGGAATTCCCTAGTATTTTTTTGGATTTAGCTTGGTCTAATATGCTCAAAGTTTTCCAGTGGAAACTATGGTTGAGTAAGGACCCTATCTGACTGCTTGTTTGTGTTCATGGATGCACTTTGTTAGTCTTCTGCCTGTCTATCCTACATATGTTGGGTAATCAAATGTCTGCAAGCAAACAACCAAGCTCAGACAGCTCCAAAGCCAGCCTTCCCACCAACAGACTGCAGTCAAGATGGTTAGCAAGAATAATTCAAAGGTGATGGAAACACAACCTAGTACACATCAAAGTAAATAATAATAACAACAAAAATTCTACAGCTGTATCATCCACAGCATAATCCACGGACCCCAATGAAATTATTCTGTGTCCTCAGATGTACGGATGTAATTTCAATTTTTTTTTAAAAAAGGGAACATAGATAAAGAAAGCAAGCAATCTTGGGATATAAAAACAGGATTTCTCCTTCCAAAGATTTGCTGCACCGCCAGCTTTTCTTCCTCCCAGTTATGGGAGCTATGTTTCCACTCAAAAATAAAACATCTTCAAAAATATCTTTCCTCAGCCTGGGATGCCTTTCAGCGAGATTTCTTTATTTATTAGAAGGATTTATTAAGGGCATGCAAGCTATTTCACATTTGAAATGCTCAGAGCTTACAACAGGGCCACTCAGGGTTTGGAATTCTTCCAGAATGGTTGAAATAACATGGAAATAGTTTTATGAAAAGTATACAAGGAATGCTTTGAACCTGAAATGTTTTGCATACCAGGGCTGATCCGGGAATTTCTAGATAACCCTGCTTCCCCAGTAGCTTGGGTGCAAAATAGATAACCGTCATTAAGACATTCCATGTGTCCTTTCTGTTGAAAGATTGATGGAAACAGATTAGGGAGAAAGAGAAGGGTCTAAGCAAGCTTGATGAAATGATTTTTGCCACTCCAAGAACCTTTCTCTAAAGCAAGGGTGTCCAACCTTGGAAACTTTTAAGACCTGGGGACTTCCTAAAAGTACATTAATGTACTTTTAAACAAGGGTGAAATGTAAAATCTGTTACTACCAGTTCTGTGGGCGTGGCTTGGTGGGGGGGGGTAATGTGATTGGGTGGGCGTGGCCAACTTTTTTTTTTTCCTAAACTTTTCAAAGCATTTTTTCTAATGCTTTGAAAAGCCTCTCTGCTGATCAGGGAACTCAGCTGGGATCGTCAGAGACTTTTCAAAGCATTTTTTTTACCACCTCTTCGGCCAAGAGGTTGCAGAAAAAAATGCTTTGAAAAGCCTCTGATGATCCCAGCTGCACCGCGCGATCATCAGAGGCTCTTTTTTTACTTTTAAAAGCATTTTTTCATCGGAAGAGGTTGTAGAAAAAATGCTTTTAAAAGTAAAAAAAAAAAAAAGCCTCTGATGATTGTGCGGCTCAGCTGGGCATGGGGGCAGGCGCAGGGATTTTTGCTACCGGTTCTCCGAACCATCCGCCGCCATCACTACCAGATCGGGTGATCCAGTCCGAACCGGGAGCATTTCACCCCTGCTTTTAATGTATGAATGTAATTTTAATGTACGTAAATGTAAAGACTGTACATGTGTAGAGGTACACGTGTGTAACATGTACCACAACTCAGTCCAGCAATCTGGTCATTAAATGAAGCAGTAACTAAGTGAAATCGCAACCCTGTTTATGATATGACTACAGCTTTCATTTGCATTACGAGACCTGCATGCTCGTACATGCAAAGACTGAACACAAAATTCCTTTTCATCATACTTTTAAGTGGTCGCTAAATGAGAACTGCCTGTATACAGGGACAGGTTTGTAGAGGTGCACCAGGGTGTGTGTCAGGTCTGTCAAGTGCCTCACAGGCATCCTGCCATCAAAGGCTGGGGAGTGGGAGGGTAGCTGGGCAATAAAGCTGTGTGTGTAGCAGTGGTGGGTTGCTACCGGTTCACCCTGGAACAGGGCGAACTGGTAGCGGCAACGATGGGAGGCTCCGCCCACAAGCCCGGACGTCTCTGCGTATGTGCAGAAGCGGCGCACGGGCGAACTGATAGAAGCCAAAATTGAAACCCACTACTGGTGTGTACGTGATGGGAAATAGGGAGAGGGTGGGACTGACTGAAGCTTGGCACCAGTTTGTACCAGCATCCAAGGCCAGGCACCCCGAGAAAGAGTGTGGATTACCCCAAAGTGTTCTCAAAACACTTTGGTGAATTCTGATTGGCTGAAGATGGACTGGTCATGGTGGAAGGGCTGGGATGAGGGGAAACCTTTCTGTATTTTTTATGCGTGGGAAACCCAGAGCTAGCCTGACTGTACATCTTTTTAGTAAAAGAACCTTTCGCTTCAATCAAATGGAGTTGAGGATCTTTCTTTTCTAAGTGATCAGATTGGGGCAGGTCTGACAGTGTGAAGCACTTAAAAAGCGGACCCAAGTGGAAGATTTTCTGCTTACCATGAATCCTTTTAATGTCCGATAAAAAGGATCCAGAAGGAGACAAGCTAGAGAGCAGACTTGGGCTGTGTGATCCCAGCCATCTGAGCAGTGTACCACCACACTGGCACCCTCATCTCTGACTGCCTGGAAGGACAGGGATACAGGCGCTTAAGTTGTTGTTGTTGTTGTTTTTTTTTAAAAGAAATGATGCAAAGTTGCTATCAAGTGCTGGGCTCTGCAATATCAACAGGCAGAATAAAAAAGAATGAAGGCAAATCTTTAGTACTGATGGAGGGATGGAAGCAAAAATACCTCCTTTAATATCTCCGGTCCTCTCTTCATTGCGAAGAGTCCTTAAGACAAGGTCAGAATCATAGAATTATAGGGCTCCAACAGGACCTTGGAGATCTTCTAGGGCTCTTCTAGGGCTCAAGCAGGAGCCCTTATACCATCCTGGACAAATGAATGTCTAATCTTTTCTTGAAAACCTCTAGTGAAGGAGCACCCACAACTCAGGAAGCAAGCTGTTCCATTGATTAATTGTTCTGTCAGGAAATTGCTCCTCACTTCAAGGTTGGATCTCTCTTTAACTTCCAACCATTCCTTCTTGGTCCTATCCACATGTGCTTTGAAGAATAAATCAATCCTCTCTTCGTTGTGACAGCTTCTCAACTACTGAAAGACAGTTATCATGCCCTTTCTAATTCTACTCTTCCATAGGCTAGAGACATACCTAGTCCCCTCAACTGTTCATCATACTATTTAGCCACCAGATTTTAACATCCCAAAAATAGAGAAACCCAGATTCTTTTTTCTCACATATCTTGCCTCCAGGGACGTTGCAGACCTCCTAACATCTCCTAACCCAAAAGGTATTTCAAATGGATCCTGATGATGATGAATACTTTGCCTCCTGTGTGCAGCCAAAGCCATCTCTGTACATAAACCTGGAGAAATTTGAAACGGCTGACCACTCTTTTTCCAGGTTTTCTTCAAAGCTCTAGCTTTAACCCCCCCCCCCCAAACAAGAAAGACTGCACACTGGTGAACATGCAACTTTTCCAGGAATTTTGCAAAATGTTGCAAATTCAAAGTTGCTTTACCTTGGCCAGGAAGACTCCAGCATCCATCACAGCTTTAATGTGTCGCAACCAGCCTGAGTTTTCGAGTCCTGTAAGGAAGTCGCTCATTGAAGGAGACTTTGCTTCACACACTAAAAAAAGGAAGAGGATGTCAGACCTGGAAACCATCTTTCTACCTTTGTGCCTTCAGGCTTCAGGCCTGCCACAAATTTTACTGTGGGAAATTGGGAGGGGGGAGTGCATAGAAGGAAGAAGATATGTAGTCAAAATAAAATTCTTTATAGAAAGTCAAGGCCAAGGTGCCCTGCAGCTGTGTTGAGAAGAATGAGGAGGTATTCTCTGTTCCGGATGGTACCTGATTGGATTTGTGATGGACATGTGGGAGAGGGGCACTTTCTTTTGGGTGTGGAAAACCCGGAAGCTCTCAGATTCAGGTTTTCCCAGATGTGCCAATATGACACCTCTAATAAAAGTTAGCTTTGAGGAACTTCAAACCTTGGAGTTTGATTTCATTGGGGGTGTTACTTGGAACCCTGACATTAACCCAAATCCCTTTCAAACTAAAGAAGCTCCCTCGAGTTTTGGGCTGCTGTCCGGGGTCCTGAGCCTCAAGCGTTGACCCAATATCAGGCGGCGCGAAGACTCAGGGAAGATGGAGGAAGAAAAGAAGTCCATGGAGGGAGCAGCAAGCACTGGCTCAGCAATTTCTTCTGAAACCCTCTACTCTCCTTCCCCGGCTATGGAGGAAGCCATGAAAGCCGCAGACACCGAGCGCCAGTTGGACGCCCGATACAAGGAGCTGAGGCCAGAACTGAGGTCGCAGTCAGACCTGGCCCTGCAGGAGGAAGCTGCAGGAGTTACCCTGATTCAGGAATTGTGCGAACCAGGAGGGGGTGCGGGACAAGCCTCAACCCTTAGCTGGGAAGTGCTATAGCAGCTGTGCTGCAAGCGCTCCGGAGAATGGGGATTCCCACCACCATCACGCAGCCAGATGCTAGCCAGTCTCCCAGAGCAGCAAGCTCCTGGCCAGCTACCAGTGCAAGCCCAGCCGCCGGTCCTCCCCCCACAGCTTCGAGCAACTTTCGATGGGACCCCTGGGAAGTTGGCATACTTCCTCAATTGCCTCTGGGCTCACATCAACCAATACGGAACTCCAATACCCCTCTGACCGGTAATTGATTTCCGCCATCACGGATGGCATGAACGAAGGAGAGGCGGCAGACTGGATAGCTGAGCTTCACGATGAGGAGGCTCCTGAGCTACAAGACGTTGATGAGTTCGTCCAACTGACGCGGGTCAGATTCAATAACGTTGCCCAGCAAGTAGAAGCTGAAACCCAAATTAAAGCACTGAAGCAAGCTGGAAGACCCGCAAAAGAATTAATATGGGAGTTTCGGAGGCTGGCTGGAAAGTTGCGAGACTGGCCAGAGCGCCTGATGGTGCACACTTTCAAAGAAGTCCTGGACCTGGATCTCAGGCAAGCCTGTGGCATAAGGGGAGTACTGGACTGGATACAGTCATGATACAACACTGCCGTCATTCTGGACCTAGAGCTTCACCCTCACAGGAAGCCAGCAGCAGATAAACCGACCAGGAGACCATTAGAATGCCTGGCACAGATGAAGAAGCCCAAAGAGCTCCCTCCCACACCATCCGTGACATCAGCTTTGAACAAGTCGATGGAATGCTAATTGGTGGGGCTCCTGCCATCTTGGTCACTGAGCTCGTTGTCAGTTTCGTCAGACTAGAGATGGGGTCCTCCAGTTCGTGGTCACCCCAACGATGACCAACTCAGTCATATTGGGACTCTCATGGTTTGATAAGTGGGGTCCCACAATCTCCTCGGATGGCAGATATAGGAAGCTAGTCATTGGCATTGGCCCATTACCACCTGTAAGGCAAGACAGCCCTTAGAAATCACCACTCCAAAGGAGACCACTGCGCTGGAACCGAGATGCCCTACCTAGCAGCCAAGAAGCCCTAACTGACCACAGCTCTGGCCCGAGACGCCCTACATGGCAGCCAACAAGTGCCCAAGGAGTATTGAGACATGGGGGGGGGAGTTAGCGAAGAGTACTGCAATTTCCTCCCCCCTCACTGCTCGACCGACTGCGCAATAGAGTTTGTGCCAGGGGCTAAATTACCCAAGCCGAAAATGTACTCCATGACTCCAAAAGAGATGGAGGAATTGAGGGAGTACATAGATACCAATCTGAAGCGAGGCTTCATCCAGCAAGCAAAATGCAAAGTGGCAGCCCCAGTGCTCTTCAAAGAGAAAAAAGATGGGGGGGATGAAGCTCTGCGTTGATTTTTGTGGCATCAATGCCATGTGCATGGAAAATACCTACCCCCTCCCCCTCATGAAAGTCATGCTTAACCACCTGTCAAAGGGCAAGGTATTTACCAAACTGGACTTAAGAGAAGCCTACTATCGCATAAAGATTAGGAAGGATGAATGGAAGACTGCTTTCAACTGCCACGACTCCAAACTGGCCAGCCACTTTGGATTCCTGAAAACCCGACACCTCATTAAGAGACAATTCTGGTGGCCAAGGATGAAAGCACAGGTGGAAGATTACGTAAGAAGCTGTGCCACATGTGCAACAATGACGCCAAGACCTGGAAAAAAACCCTGGACTTCTTCAGCAAGTGGCAAACCCCAGACCTTGGGAGGAAATTGTGATGAATTTTATAGTTGAGCTCTCAGAAAATATGGGGAGCCCAGTAATTTGGACAGTCATTGATCTGTTTTCAAAGCAAGCCCATTTGATTGCTTGCTCCGGACTATTGTCTACAAAGAAACTTGCAAAACGTTTCATCAAACACATCTACCGCCTGCATGGAATACCCTGCTGCATCATCTCAGACCGAGGAGTCCACTTCACCGCAAAATTCTGGAAAGAATTCTCAAGGTCCATTGAATACACACAAGGACTTAGCTCGGCTTTTCATCCGAGCACTAACGGAGCGGCGGAACGTACGAATGCAATGGTGGAGCAATACATAAGATGCTGTGTGGACTACCAACAAGAGAACTGGGCAGATCTATTACCGTTTGCAGAAGTGGTATACAACAATGCAATGCACAGTATCACTGGACTGACCACTTTCCAGGTCACCAGCGGCATGGAGTTTGTCCCCATGCCTGAATTACTCAGAGCACTCCCTTCATCCATGTCTTTAACAGAATGGATAGAGTCATTAAAGAAGGGATGGGAGAATATGAAAAAAGCGCTGTCAGAAGCAGCAGAGGAATATAAAAAACAGGCAGACAAGCACCGTTCGCTCCAACCCCACTTCCGGGTAGGGGATAAGGTTTTCCTATCCACCAAATACATATGGTTAAGGCTGTCTAGCAAGAAATTGGGACCCAAGTTCCTAGGTCCTTTCCCAATAGTAAAAAAAATTAACCCAGTGACAGTTCAGCTTAGCCTCCCTCACGTTCTAGGGAAAATACAGCCTGTCTTTCATTATAGCTTGCTGAAACCCTCAGTTGGGTCCAACCCAGAGGTGGTATCCAGCTGGTTCGCACTGGTTCGGGCGAACCGTTAGCGGAAATTTGGTGTGGTTCGCTGAACTGGTAGCAACCTCTGGCTGGCCACACCCCCAAACCGGTTGCCTGATCCATGCTCACTCACCCCGGCCACCCGATGCTCGCTCGCCCCGCCCGCCCACTCAACGCCTGCCCACTCAACGCTACCCCGCCCACCCATCGAGGAGGCTCAGCAGCAGCGGGAAGAGCATGGACCTCCTGACGCAGGAAGCAGCAGCCAGGTATGTCCTCAGGTGATGTTGTGAGCGGGGAGGCTTGATCCCCCTTAAGGGATCAGACCTTAGGATCTGCGAAGCGCTCGCCGCCCCTCTGACACCCGCCAAGCCTCCTGCCACTGCGCTTCTCTTCCTCCTCACCAGAAGCACTCACAAGCGACAAGACATCTGTTATTTTGGGGGAGACTGTGGGATTGCCCCCATCTGGTCTTCAATACCTGGCTCGTCGGCCTCCAGGTCAGATTCCCACAACCCAGCACCAGTTCAGAGGTTCCTTCCCCCCCCCCATGGACAGAGAGAGATGGAGGGAGGGAGGGAGGGAGAGAGAGAGAGAAGAGGGTGGGAAGGGAAAGCGAGACAGACACAGAGAGGGGGAGGGAAAGAGAGGGGGAAGGGAAAAAGAGACACATACACAGAGAGGGGGAAGGGAAAGAGAGAGAAGAGAGGGGAAGGGAAAGAGACAGAAGACACAGAGAGAGGGGGAAGGGAAAGAGAGACAAAAGACACATAGAGAGGGGGAAGGGAAAGAAAGACAAAAGAAGAGAAGGGAGGGAGGGAAAGAGAGAGAGAGAGAGACGAGATACAGAAAGGGGAAAGAGAGAGACAAGAAACATACACAGAGAAAGAGATGAGAGAGAGATGAGTGAGAGGAGATGAGAGAAAGAAAGAGAGAGGGGGAGAGATGAGAAACAGAGAGGGAGAAAGGAAGAGAAAGAGATGAGGGAGAAATGAGAGAAAAAGAGTGAAGAGATGACAGAGGGAGAGGGAGAGAGAGATGAGAGATGAGAGAGGGAGGGTGGGTGGGAAAAAGAGAGAGATGAGTGCGAGAGGGAGAGAGGGAGAAAAGAGAGACAGAGAGAGAGAGATACCTGTTTAAAAGAAAATAGAAAAACGGCTCTTTAAGTGTTTAAGGTTGCAGACCCCTGAGTTAGGCAAACACCATGGTCGTTAAGTGAACCTTGTGGTGATTAAGCAAACACTGTGGTTGTTAAACAAGTCCATTTTCCCCAATGGGCATTTTTAAAACAGAAACCAGAAGGAATTGTTGGAAACTGGCAAAAAACATAGAAAACCTCAGTCACATGACTGTGGTAATGTTGTAACTGGTCATAAATGTGTGTGTGCGTGTGTGTCTGTCTGTCTGTCTGTCTGTCTGTCTGTCTGTCTGTCTGTGTGCATGGCTGTCAAAACTCCAAAAACAAGTCAAGTAGCTCTGAAAATTTGAACATTTGCTAAGCAACCGGCCATTAAGTGAGGACCACTTGTATTTGGTTTGCCTTAAGGGTTCAGAGCAGTACGGAATCTGGTTTCCTTTGACCCTTTTGGGGGATTGCAAAAGGTCCGGATGCAGGAATCCTCATGGGGGAACTAGGATCATGACTATCAAGCCATGCCCGACAAACAAGCCACGCCCACAGAACTGGTAGTAAAAATTTTTGAATACCACCACTGGTCCAACCTAAGACCTCAAGCCCAACCACCTCCTCCTCCTATAGTGGTGCAAGGAGAGAACCATTATGAAGTCAAGAAAATATTAGATTCTAGGCTACATAGGGGTCAATTACAATACACTATACTCTGTCTGAAGCTACCTGGGTCAAGAGTTGGAATGTAAAAGCAGATAGACTAGTTAAACAATTCCATGACACGTACCCTGACAAGCCAAAGAGTCCCCTGTGGGGGGAGGGGTGGTTAGAGATATGATTAACCCCCTATATTGTTTTTTTTTCCCATGTCTTTTCTGAGGGGGAGCAGCCTGTCAGACCTGGAAGCCATCTTTCTACCTTTGTGGCTTCAGGCTTCAAGCCTGCCACAAATTTTACTGTGGGGAATTGGGAGGGGGGATTGCATAGAGGGAAGAAGATATGTAGTCAAAATAAAATTCTTTATGGAAAGTCAAGGCCAAGGTGCCTTGCAGCTGTGTTGAGAAGAATGAGGAGGTATTCTCTGTTCTAGACGATACCTGATTGGATGTGTGGTGGACATGTGGGAGAGGGGCAAGGTCTTGAACTTTCTTTTGGGTGTGGAAAACCTGGAAGCTCTCAGATTCGGGTTTTCCCAGATGTGCCAATATGACACCTCTAATAAAAGTTAGCTTTGAGGAACTTCAAGTCTTGGAGTTTGAGAGGAAGCACAGTTTCAGTAAAGAGACAGCTGAGGTAACAACGAAGGGCCTTCCAGAGGCTGATAAGTCATAACATCCGCATCCACACAAAGTTTCCCCTTGGTGATCTCTCATCAACAGGACAGGCAGTCCTTAACTTACAACCATTCATTTAGCAAATATTCAAATTTATAACGGCACTGAAAAAAGTGACTTATGACTGGTTTTTGCATTTATGACTGTTGCAACATCCATATGGTCATGTGATCAAAACTTGGCAACTGGCACATATATATGACAGCTGCAGGGTCCTGAGGTGATATGATTACCATTTGTAAGCTTCCCAGCCCAATTCCAACAAGCAAAGCCACTGGGGAAAGCCAGATTCACTTAACGACCTGGTGAATCTTAACAGCAGCAGTGATTTGCTTAATTTGCAAAACAGATCAGAAAATGGGGCAAAATTTAACTGTTGCACTTAGCAACAGACATTTGGGGGTTAATTGTGGTTGTAAGTTGAAGACTACATGTATTACAACTTAAGTAACAAACCAGGATTTATTTATAATGCATACTGCATCATTGTTATACCAAAGTAATTCAATCAATATACACCATGCTGTATTTACATTCCCAATAAAAATAATATCTTTCTCCTGGATCAGGGGTGAAATGCTCCTGGTTCGGACCGGATCGCTCGATCCGGTAGCGAGGGCGGCGGGTGGTTCGGAGAACCAGTAGCAAAAATCCCTGCCCGCCCCCCATGCCCAGCTGAGCTGCGCGATCATCAGAGGCTTTTTTTTAATTTTTAAAAGCATTTTTTCTACAACCTCTTCAGCCCAAAAAATGTTTTTTAAAGAAAAAAAAAGCCTCTGATGATCAGGCAACTCAGCTGGGATCGTCAGAGGCTTTTAAAAGCATTTTTTTTACAACCTCTTTGGCAGAACAGTTGGCCACACCCACTCAGTCACATTATCCCCCGCCACCAAGCCACGTCCACAGAACCGGTAGTAACAAATTTTACATTTCACCACTGTCCTGGATAGTTTATTATTGCAAAGCACAATGCCTGCTAAGAAGTCAGGTAAACTGAACAAGCTGAGAACACAGTCAGAGTCTGCTAATGTCTTCCATTCAGAAGTTCCATCCAGGTCTGTGTACGCAGGTAACTGCAAAGCACATCCTACCTTCCAGGAGTTTCTGCAGGCTGCTCCTCATCACATGGATGTTTTCAATGCCAATGAATTTAAAACGGATGCATTCGTAATTATCTACATTCTCATAGCCCTTTCCAGCAGCTCGGTTGGCCATGGCGTTCAACTAGGAAAATTCAACATTTATTTATTACTGGGCATATTTGCTGCTCCAATTGTACCCAATAGGCTTCCCTAGTTTATTCTGTCAACTAAGCATACAAATGAAACAATATTTACCATTCTATGCCACAGATGGTAATCAAACTAAATTCAAACACCATATTCCAAGAGAGAAAACTTCATTGTATATCTGTCCCCAGGAGCTGTTCAAAGAACAAGCTGAAATCACTTCTAAAGCCCAGAAAAGTTGGACGACTAGGGATCTCTGGAGTGAAGCCTGCTATAAATAAGAGGGAAGGAGTCACTTTTGAGGTCCTCTAGTCCTCAACTTCTACTTGAACAGAACACTCTATACCATTCTGGACAAATAGCTATCCAATCTCTTTTTGAAAACCTCCAAGTTCTGGAGCACCCAGAATTTCTGGAGGCAAGTCATTCCACTGTTTAATTGTTCTGACTGTCAGGAAATTTCTCCTTAATTCTAGATTGCTTTTCTCTTTAATGGTCTTCCACCCATCATTTCTTGCCATTAGAGTAGACATACCTAGTTCCCACAAGCATTCATCATACACTTTAGCTTCCAGCACCCTAACATTTGAGAAATTCTAGGAGTTGAAGTCCACAAATCTTAAAGTTGCCAAGGGTAAACACTCCTGATATAAATTAACCCAACCTCCAGGGTTCCATGGAAGAAATACCTTTGGCCTTGTGTCTACCACGTACATGAAGCGACTCCCTGCCTTGGCTTCCCTAATCGCTTGCAGCAGCTGTTCATCTTCCAGGCAGCGAGTACTAAATCCAGACAAAGGCTGGCTGCATCTGCAGATGGTGGCCTGAAATAAAAAGGATGAGTAGGTGAGATATTCAGAACTGAGCACTGATGTACCTATTCTTCCTTTTCAATTTGGATGCAACTATTGCAAGACTACTGAGAAGTGTTGACGTGGGCATGCATAAATATCAGAAATATGTTTGGGATAAAATAGTGCAATTTGGAAAGAGAGGCTATATAGTTTTAATACTCCTTGGATTGAATTACAGGCAGTCCTTGACTTACAACCATCTATTTAGCGAGCGCTTGAAGTTACAACGGCAGTGAAAAATGTGACACGGCCATTTTTCACCCTTACAACTGTTGCGGCATTCCCATGGTCATGTGATCAAAACATGGCTGCTTGGCAATCCATGTGTATTTATGATGACTGCAGCATCCCAAGGTCACGTGATCACCATCTGTGACCTTCTCAGCAGGCTTCCAACAAGCCAAGTCAATGGGGGAAGACAGATTTGCTTAAGGACGGTGTGATTCACTTAACAGCTGCAGTGATTCACTTAACCATGGCAAAAAAAGATTGTAAAATTGGGTAAAGAACAGCCTTGTTTAGTAATGGAAATTCTTGTCCCAACTGTGATCATAAGTCGAGGATTACCTGTATGTTTGAAATAACAGAAAATACTTGTAGCTCAGGTTTTAGATTTTGGCGGTGTTTTGCTCTCCAAGCGTGTTTCAATTTAGTTTCTGAACATTTCATTACCAGACTAGATAACATCACCAGCAAGATTTTCTGGCCCTATTCTCCCTAACTTATAAATGTCTTATGTGCCAGTTTGGTCAGTTGGTCATTTGATTGGTTGTTTGTTTGTTTTTTTTTAAATTTGATTTATATGCCGCCCTTCTCCGAAGACTCAGGGCGGCTTACAATGTGCTCAGCAATAGCCTTCATCCTTTTTGTATATTTATACAAAGTCAGCTTATTGCCCCCACAAACTGGGTCCTCATTTCACCTACCTTAGAAAGGATGGAAGGCTGAGTCAACCTTGCGCCTTGGAGAGATTCGAACCCTGCAGTAATTGCAGGCAGCTGGTCTTAATAACCAGCTTGGAGCTATATTTAAATTCTGAGCAGCTGATTGGTTCTCTTGACTGATTGTTTGAATGGTCTGGTTTCTTACCAATTCATATGCTGGATCTAGATCATAGGTGTCAAACATGGCATCACGTTGCTGACACGTGATGTTTCGTGACATTTTTCCCATTCATGGAGCTGGGGTGGGCATGGCCTGCACGTGACACATCCAGCCTGTGTGGCACCAGTTTGACACCCCTGATCTAGATCAATATGCTTGTTAATTGCTCCTTGGATAGAATACCAGGCTTCAATAAATTCACGTGTGTGGTGGGTGCTGACATGGCCAATTATTTTTGTTCCTTCCCAATCGAACTATTGTTGTTTATTATCAGTGCGGTTTGATATCAGGGATTTTTGGTCGTGCCGTTTAACTGCTACTTGATGTTCATGAACCCTTGTTTTCAGCTGCCTTCCTGTTTGTCCCAAATAGAACAGATAACTTCCTGTATCTCCCAATCCATCTCCCCAATCATGGGAGGCTTCAAATAAAATTCTATATACAAGTCATCTCTTTTCCAAGAAGATGTGATCATTTTGTTTTCTCTTTCTTTTGCTGTTTCATCACATTCTATTTATTTGCCATCAGTATGGGGAAAATGCTGAGAAAGGAATGCAAGTGAACCAAACAATGCTAAAGGGAAATTTCTCCCGGAAATTTAAATCTATCGCATAGTCATTTTGCCCAGCCTTGAGGTGAGAGCACTACAGGAACAATGAAGCTGGCAACTCACCAGCTCAGCAATTTATTCCACACTAAGAATCAGTCCCTCAATCAGCCAAGTAATAAAAGAAATTATCTGCTCCAAGCTATTTCCCTCGGGTTCAAAAAGCTGAGATTAGCAGAGATGAGATGTAATTAGCTGAAGGCTGCCCTTCGTAACTCATTTTGAGGATTGAAAAAGCACAAGATGCTTTTTAGGTTGTTCTAAATGGAAAGTTGCCATCTAGATCTTCACAAAATTGAACTTGATGACACATATTCCCCTAAGATCCAATGAAGGGAGTTACTGCAGTCAAGAGAAATTTTAGCAATCAACTGGACTCTCCAAAATCCAGTGGCCATAAAGAACATTGAACTTAGCTGGATTCCAAACACTTGCATGCATTAAAAGATACACAGCCTAACATGGTATCTTTCAAGTGCTGATGATGTTTTTAAAACATGCCTTGAATCCAAGCTCTGCAATGCTTCACGTTTGATTCAGAAAAAGCACTTTGGAACATGTCTGTTTTACCTTGTTGCAGCCGCTTTTATAATGGAGAAAGTGATATAGCTGCTTTAATGAGCCCCCCCCCCCCCCCGGTGTGTGTGTGTGTGTGTGTGTGTGTGTGTGTCTTCGAATCAGTTTCTGACTCTTGGCAATTGCATGGAGTAGTCCCCTGGAGTCTTCTTGCAACGTTTTTTGAAAGTGGTTTGCCATTGGTTCTTTCCTAGGGTTGAGAGAGTGACTGGATCAGCAGGGTCATCTGTCTGGCTTTGTGCCTAAGGCAGCACTAGAACTCATGGCCTCCAGTTTCTAGCCTAATGCTTTAACCACTACAAGAAACTTGATTTGAGTCATAGATACTGCATTTAAACTCCTGGACATTTCAAGCATCTCTTCTAACTCAGAGCCATAGCAATGCAGGGCAGAGACCTATTAGATAATAGATATTTCTGCAGTCACCTTCCTGTGATTTTCATCTCAACTCGATTCATCTGTTGCCATTGCACAACAACTATTGCACCACTTCAGTTCATTTCATTTCCAACTTTCCTTCCCAATGTTTGCAGTCTAGCTGAAATCCCAGATTTTAGGACCTTGAATTTCGATATCAGTTTCATCTTTAAGACTCTTTTTAAGTTTTATTTTCAGTCTCCACAAAATTGCAAAAACGGGTAATATGCAGCCATTAGGCACAACAACAATCACAAAACTTCAGTAAAGCCATGTCTGGGAAAAAAATTCCTCAAATATTGCAAAATGTTGTCATTTAAAGTTACATATTTAAATTATATTATAAAAATTCCCCTACAAAAAAAAGAAATTCTAGCTAGCAAGAACTGTGCAAAAATGGTCCTTCTGATATTAGCTTCAACTTACCACCAACCCAGATCAATTCTATCTAGGAGTCTGTTCAAAGCCAGGATTCTCTCAACCCCTTAATGGTATGTGAAATTGGTCCTGTGAGTCAGGAAGAAGAGCTGCAGATTAGGCAACAGTTAGATAAGTGGCAGCTCAGTTCACAGAAGGAATGTGGGCATGGTAAATGATTCAGAAGGGACCCTTCCTAGTTTCTAAGACTGTAAAGGTGAGGGGGGAGAGATGAACTTTTAGACTTGAAGATTCTGTTAATGTGACCTTACAATAAAGGCAGAGATAAGACCCCCCTGTGTGCTTCCTGTCTGGATTACCTCACAATGTTACCTATTCCCTTATTCTCCTCAGATACACTATCTCACAAAGTACTATTGGAAGCAAAACAACTAGATTCTGCAATATATTTATACCATATAGTATCAACTTTGTTAACTCCCAAGACTCTTTTTTTCTGCTATGTAATCTAAATGATCTGTGATTAATATGTATATGTGTGTGTATGTGTCTATATAGTATTTGTATACTGTATGTATGTGCATGTACTATATGTGTATGGGCATAGTGTGTGTGTGTGTATGTATACTTTTGAAAGCAAGCATCGGAATTTCATTTTTTAATGTGTGCAAGTGTGTTCGCAGAAAAAGTTACAATAAAACTTATCTTATCCTGTCCTATCACACAATGTGACTTTCATTGGTTGCAAGCTGGAAAAAAATGAGCAAACCCAAAGAAAACAAAATACAGCATGACTAACGTTATTCTCTTTGTAGAAGTAGGAAAGCACAGGTATCCGACCTCGGCTTCGAAACTTCGCACTTCCCAAGATCATCACCCTAGTAGCCATTTTAGGCACGACTAGTTCCCGAGAATAGGTGCTGCAAACCTAGGAAGAAGAAACAGATGGAACTATCTTCAGTCATTTACTGATGGTCTATTTACTTCCAAAACAGTTTCTTACAGATTCACAGTTTCAGCAGAGGTGCATTATAGGTAGTCCTTATTAGCAATCATTCAGAGTTACAAAGGTGCTGAAAACATGTCTCAGAACCGTTGCACTTACAACCATTGTAGCGTCCCCACAGTCCTGTGATGGCAATTTGGGTGTTTGGCAACCGAAAAGTAATTATGATGGCTGGTTGAAGCATCCCAGAGTCACCTGAATGCCATTTGCAACTTTCCCAGTGGGCTTCTGACAAGCAAAGTCAAGAGGGGGGGAGGCAGATGGACTTGTTTAATGACCGCATAATTTACTTTAAAAATTGTAAAATTGGGTGTGATTCACTTAATGACCGCATCTCTTAGCAACAGAAGTTCTGTTCTCAACTGTGTCCTTAAGTCGAGGACTACCTGTAGAATCTCCTGGCCTAGATAGCAGACCCAAAACAGATGCAAGCTCACCTCGTAATCCTTGTTGACATTGCTAATTTCCCAAGAGCTGTTGTCAATGCCCATCCGCAGGTAATCTGCTTTGACATCTATTGACTTCCAGCCTGTTTCTCGGCTGCCTTCAGGCATTTTGGGGTTGTAAGAGAAGGCGTAAAGTTCTTCAGGCTTCACTAAAGCACAAAAGCAATTTTCAAAGGCAAAAAACTACCATTTGGGCACTTGAGACCAAATCTTAACAATTGCCCCTGGATACAATGTTATTATAAATAAGTTCTTCCTTTAATTTCTATTCCACTTTATTGGATTTGCATCTAACATTTCCTGCAGATTTAAAAATAAACCTAGAAGTTACTAAGCCCCAAGACAATTCATTAAAACCCTTTCAGCTATTGCAAATATAAGTACAAAGGGATTTTGTTATTAGTTTTTTTCAATAAAAAGTCTACTGGTATGCACAGTTGTTTAAAGATATTGTTGCTTACCACTAACAGAATAACAGAGTTGGAAGGAACCTTGAAGGTCTTCTAGTGACCCAGTGTTTCCCAAACTTGACCCTTTGAAGAGGTATGGACTTCAACTCCCAGAATTCCTCAACCAGACATACTGGTTGGGGAATTCTGGGAATTGAAGTCCATGCATCTTAAAATAGCCAAGTTTGGGAAACACTGTTCTATCCAACCCCTGCCCATTCTAGACAAGTGGCTGTCCAGTCTCTTCTTAAAATCTTCCAGTGGTGAAGCACCCAAAACTTCTGAAGGCAAGCCTTTCCAATTTCTCCTTAGTTCTAGGTTGCTTCTCTCTTTGATTAGTTTCCATCTATTGTTTCTTGTCTTGCCTCCTGGTGCTTTGGGAAATTGATTGGCCCCCTTTTCTTTATGGCAGCTCCTTAAACTGCTATCCTGTCACCCCAGTCTTTCATTTCACTAGACTAAACATACCCAATTCCTGCAACTGTTTTTCATTAGTTTTAGCCTCCAACCCCTAATCTTTGTTGCTCTTTTCTGCAATCTTTTCAGAGTCTCTAGATTTTTTCTATAACATGGTGACCAAAACTGGATGCAGTATTCTAAAGGTGGTCTTTATAAAGCAGTATTAATACTTCCCATGATCTTGATTCTATCCCTCTGTTAATGCAACCTAGGTTGCAATTAGATTGGACTTTGAGACACTCTTTCAATCCTTTCTGAATAGATAGTTTTAAAAAAAACTTTTCTGGTTGATAGACTGGAAAACTAAACAAGATACAGGAAGCACAGAAGGCTTTATAGATTCTGGGATTGCAATCAAACCTTATGATAGGTTTGGGATTCTGATGGGCGAGCTCTCTGGTCCCTTCTGAAAACTGCAATCAATAATTCATTCTTGCCAATTCTCCCAGCAGCAAGCTCTTAAGGAAGAAAGAATTGAATGAAGGAAACCAGGTACCCAGCAGGTAATCCTCAGATGTCAATCAACTGCTAGCAAATAATGAGGGATTACCGTATTTTTCAGAGTATAAAATGCACCGGAATATAAGACGCACCTTAATTTTGGGGGAGGAAAACAAGAATTCTACCTCTGCCGGACTTCCGGTTTGGCGTTGCAGCGATGCAGTCGGGGAAATAGTGGGGCTCTGATGAGCCCCACAAAAACCCCAGCTGGCAAACCGCTGCTGACAGGTCTGCGAACCTACCCTGTCCTGAAGGGACAGGGGAAAGAGAGGGACCCCTTGGGCGGCTGAGAGGAACAGGCAAGTTCCTCGGAGGCCGGAGGCAACCCTCTAAGTCAGTGGCAGGGGACGGCAGCCATGGCAGCTGCCTCGAGACCGCGACAAATCGGGACAAGCAATGTGCAGGAGGAAGGAAGAAAGGACGATGTGCTTTGGAGCCAGGTGAGTGACACCAACCCAAGCGAGACACAACGTGAGAATAAGGATATTTACAAATAGGACCCCCAGCCTTACTTAGCGGCTGAAGATCTGAGGGGCCTGAAGATTTTGTAAAATAAGGAAAAGAATTGAAGACCCTTTAAGAATTTTATTTTAACACTGATTGATTGGAATGCATTGCTTATTAACCAAATAGAGTTGGATATTTGAATTTTCTTGTTAAAACTGAAATGGACTTGACTTTTGGAAAAGAGAAAAGCGATAATTAAGGATTTGTCATCTTTAAAAGTCAGACAAAGAGATTAAACGGATTGCTACATAAATGTTTCAAAATGGCGATTGTAGCTGTGACTAAGTGAAGGAAACTTGCTTTTTCCTGAAAAGAACCTATTTGACTCGTTATATATTGTGGATTACTTTAAAAAGAACTATGGCTTTTTGAACTTTGGAGATTCCTATTCTGTCTTCTAATGGCTTTATAAAGAAAGAAGAAACACAATGACTAATAAACTTTTAACTAACTGGCGCAGCAACAAAAGGTTTGGCGTAGGAACGGAAGTGGAGAAGCTGATGGATTTTACTGGAAACAGATTCTACAATAGAATTAAAAAGGATATGCAGAGTTTTAAGCATGGAAGTATTGACTTTGAATTGAAATGCTTATGGACAGATAAAGGAAATGAAGAAGCAAAATAGATAAACTAGATAGCAATATTTGAATGCTTAATTGTTTAAATGGTTCAAAGTTTAAGTGAGCTTTAAATAAAAACAAGAAGTGCTTATGGTAAAATATAGAAAATTAAAAATAAAAGATAATTAAAATAGAAGTGGGAAGTTAAGGTGACTAAAAGTGATATTTTCATAAAAGCATAATTTGAGCATAATGTTTTAGTTTTAAGTTGATAAAGTGGTGGATGATAATTATGATTGTTAATGATTATAGATGATATACTAAGGTACACAGATGGAAGTCATAATTGAGATTGAATTTAACACATATTGGAAATGATTAATATTAAGAAATAGATGGGGATACACTCTGGAAGAGTATAGTTGGAAACAGTGGATTAATAGACAACATATTGAAGAAGAAATTTTTAAAATAAGCTAGCAGAATAGTAGTTGGAGTTAAGGAGGAGAATAAGCTGAAAATTCAGCCAAAGTAATGTAATGCTGGAAATCAGCCAAATAATAGGTGGAGTTATGGAGGAGAATGCTGTTAATCAGCCAAAATAAAGCATGTTGGAAATCAGCCAAAACAATAGAAAATGCTGGTAATCAGCCAAATAATAGTTGAAGTTATGGAGGAGAATATGCTGAAAACTCAGCCAAAATATGTTATGCTGGAAATCAGCCAAACAATAGGGGGAGTGATGGAGGAGAATGAGGAGAATACATTGAAGAATAATTATTAATAAGGGGTGAAAAAGAAAATGTTGGGCAATAATTAAAATGAAATGGAAAATTATGAGATGTCTGTGTAAAAGTTTAAGATTAAAATAGGATGAATTGGGTCTAGAAAACAAGAAAAATAGAAAGAAATTTTGATTAATAAATTGAAATAAAAATTGAGTTGCATACATTTGGAAATTAGGATTCATGGTGATAAAATTATAAGATAAATATATAGATTAATAGATTAGACTGTTTTTGTTTAATGTTGAGGTTAAAAGGAGCAATGGAAAAAAATTTAGATAGAGTGAATTTTGATTTATAATTGAATTTATAATTGAATATAAAAATGAGCTTTGCTTTAGTAGGAGATTAAGATATATGATGAGATAATAGAAAGATTTAAATTAAAATGTTGGAATTTAAGTTAAAATTATCTGTTTTCATTTGTTAAACTAGTATACCCATTTGTGACCGGACCAAGACTTCGTTCTGGAGAAAATTTTTCTTTTTTGTTTTTGCTGGAAAAAATAAAAAAAATTACAAAAAAAAAAAAAAAGAATTCTACCTCTGCCTACCAGCATTTAAGGTGGCGCTGCTTTACGGCGCCCTCCTCCTCCTCCTGCAAGTGAGAAGTGCCTCAGAGACTCGGCTGACAAAGAAGGCGTCAATTACTGATGTTGTTTTCCAGAAAACTTATCAGGGTGCTCCTGCGATCTGCAGGGACTACTCGCTTTCCCCCAAAGAGACCCCTCGCATGCTCTGGGGGGAGGGACAGAGCACAGCCTGAGGAACAAACCTCTTTGGGATGGTCTGGGGGGGAGTCTGCCCGGCAGCTTCGGGGAACAAGGCGGGCGCCACGATTTGCAGCTGGTCACCCCTTTGGCCGCCTATGAGGTGAGTTGGGCTGAGAGACAGAGTGACTGGTCCAAAGTCACCCAGCTGGCTTTCATATCTATGGCAGGACTAGAACTCACTGTCTCCTGGTGATTGGTCCAAAGTCACTGAACCGGCTTTCATGCTTAAGACAAGAGTAGAACTCACAATCTCATGGTGATTGGCCCAAATCACCCAGCTAGCTTTCATGCCTAATGTGGGACTAGAACTCAGTCTCCTGGTTTCTAGGCCAGCACCTTAACCATAACTTTTAATAATAAAATAAAATATTAATAAGAGAAACCTTTTTCTCTTCCACATACTCTTGTGCCTAGTTTTCCTGCCTAGCACTCCAATGTCCCAGCATCCAACACAAAGAATGCTTGAATCCTGCTAACATCTTCCTAGAACAAAACCCCAAAGCAACTGAGCTATTCCTCTTTCAGCAGGGCCTGGAAAAAGCTCTCCTCCCCAGGGAAAGAGGCACTTAAAAGTCAGGGAGAATAGGCTGGTACCACACAGCAGCCCTGGAACAGGAAGCAAACGGACTGTGCACTACACGCACCTGGTTGCGAGAGCTTCAGCAAAGAGGTATAGACTTCATGGCAATCTCGTTCTTGCACCATCAGAAAGCAAGCTACGCGGAAATTCTTAGAACGAATTTGCAGCTGGCAGCCAGACGCATTCAGTGGTAACTTCTCCACGGTAGCTATGTGGTGGTGGAGGACCTGAAAAAAAGAAGAAAAGTGAACAATGGTAATATGTGTGTGTGGGGTCAACTATGAACCTTCCTGTGGCTATAATAGCAAAAATCAATATAGGTGGTCCTCAACCTATGACCACAATTGAGCCCAAAATTTCTGTTGCTATGCAAGGTGGGCATTCAGTGAATTTTGCCCCCTTTTACAACCTTGTTTACCACAGTTAAGTAAACCACTGCAGTTGTTAGGGTAATAACATGATTGTTCAATGAATCTATCTCCCCCATTGCCTTTGCTTCTCAGGTCGCAAAAGGGGATCACAGGACTCTATAACTGTCAAAAATATGAGCCAGTTGCCAAGCATCCGAATTTTGATCACGTGTCCGTGTGTTGTGGTCCGCCAGTAGCCTGCAGAGCTAGCAGCAGAGTCGGACAGTGAGGAGGCTGGGGAGGAACATGGGCCAGTCCTGGAGTCTGGGGAAGGCCCAGACGAGGGCTCTGCATTGGAGGCAGAGATGGGGCCAGGGCCATCTGGGAGTGATGCACAGACTCCGGAGCCCCCAGAGTCGGACAGCAGAGAGGCAGAGGAACAGGGGGAGCCTGTTCCCAGTGCACGCATGCACAGAGCTGCCAGAAGGCAAGAGCAGCTAAAGCAAAAGGGACGACTCGGGAGTAAGGCCAAGAGATGATTGGCCCTTCCCATAAGGCTTAAAAGAGAAACAAAGGCACTTGGGCCTTTTTGCAGGAAAGCAATGTTGCCAACTCTATTTCCAGTCAGTGTCTCTTGTTTGTTTCTGACCTGGGGGGCTTTGCCAAGTAAGGCCTTTGGCAGGGTGTCAAAGAAGATAAAGGTTGGTGATTATCCCAAAAGACTTTTTTCAAAGGACTTGTTTTGCAACTAATTGGGACTCAGCTGGGAATCAACATAATTCTCAGCTGTTACAATAAAATAGATTTATTTGGGACTAATTGTGTCTTGTAATGACTCAGTAAGCCTAGGTCACAACACTGTAGGGACACTGCAATGGTCATAACTATGGAAAACGGTCATAAGTCATTTCTTTCAGTGCCATTGCAACTTTGAACAGTCACTAAATGAATGGTTGTAAGTCAAGGAGTACCTGTACCCATATCCATCTGTGAAAGAAATGGCTTGCAGGGACTGAACATTGAAGAGGCAGCACTAACTTGTATTTTGGGACTCTGAAACGATGTATCTGATGGAGAATGGCAAGTGGGCGTGAAAGTGGCTGCCAATTTGACTTCTCTTAGGTGATTTCTCACTGCCAAAGCTGCCCTATCTCTACACTGTATGTTAAAATGGCTCCATTTTTAAGCAGGAACGCAATCTAAGATAATGTGTTGAATGAGGCTTGTGCAGGCTTTACTGTTGTAGGCATTTTAGAGAAGTCGATTTTCTTGGAGGTAGCAGGCTAAGAATGGAGAACTTGTGGCCAGACAAGAGCCTTGGTAGTACAGGGGTTTAAGGCACCCTGTTATTAAGCTGGTTATTAAGACCAGCTGCCTGCAATTACTGCAGGGTTCGAATCTCGCCAAGGCTCAAGGTTGACTCAGCCTTCCATCCTTTCTAAGGTAGGTGAAATGAGGACCCAGTTTGTGGGGGCAATAAGCTGACTTTGTATAAAATATACAAAAGGATGAAGGCTATTGCTGAGCACATTGTAAGCTGCCCTGAGTCTTCGGAGAAGGGCGGCATATAAATCAAATTAAAAAAAAAAAAAGTTAAGAGGAAAGTTTAGATACTGCTCAGGTGGTGGGGAGGAGACCTTGCTTTGGCTGCTTTTATATTTTCCTTTTCACTAAATGACCTCAGCACAGCAGGTTTCACGCAGGGATGAAAATGAAGATTGAACAATGACCTCTCTTGCCTATTGCATCTTTAGGTCAGCTTGTCAAGGCTACTTTGGCAGTGCACTAAACTCATCAACCAACCATTAAAAATGTAGGCTCTGATCTCAGTTAACTGATAGGAACAGGAAAGCATGCAAACTATGGTCACAAAAGGCGAGATGGTGACCTTCAGGGTAACAATCAAAGCTCCATCTGTTTTGCTTTTTTTCATGTACATTACACACAATAAACAGAGAGGGCTTTGTTTGCAGTCTCATTATCAGGCGTGGAAGGTCAGGTCCACCTGTGAAAGTCCAATTAAACTGATTTATTGCTACTCATGCCTATGTACAGCAATATTCTCAAGGAATGGCCAGCACCTGCTTGGAATTAGTTAAGGGTCAACAGAATTCAAGGGTAGGTGGAATTGGTCTGCTTGTGGCTATCTATGAAACAAACAAAATGTTAAAAAGTTGTGATATTTATGTCATTACTTACCAAGCACATCTAAATTATATTAAAGTAACCAAAATATATTTACAATCCTCAAGGCATGTCACAACTTTTGAGCACCCCTGATGTCTGGAAATTGAAAGCTTGAAGAATTTAACACACCCTAAGGATTCAACCAAAAACAACATAACTACCAACCTGATCTAAAATTAGGCTAGCCTAATTTTAACGGTTTTAAATTTTAAATTGGATTTTAATGGGATGTTTTTAATTGTGGGCCAAAGTATTTAATCTGGTTTTAAATTGTTTTTAATTTTTATATTTATGTATTTGATCTTGGCTGTTCACCGCCCTGAGTCCTTCGGGAGAAGGGCGGTAAATAAATAAATAAATAAATAAATAAATAAATAAATAAAATTAAAAGACATTTCAACCAATTTCAGGTATCCAATGCTCAACACCCCTCATCACTGCGAGACCTTCGTCTGCAGAGAAGGTATTTAAAGGCCAGTGCTCCCCCAGACAAGCACAATCCAAAGCACACTGAAGATGTCTCCTCAAATGGGGACGAAATGTTTGCAACCAAATCACCAAGCTCAGAGCTCAAACCAACAATATAACAGTAGGACTGACCCCAAGGAGCAGGAAGAAGAGCTGCCATTAAGACAACAGTCAGATAAAAGAAATTTAAGTATAAGGGAGAAATTTAATTTAAGAAATCAGAATAGAGCTGGAAGGGACCTTGGAAGTCTTCTAGTCCAACCCCCTGCTTTCATTTACTATCCTATCCCCTTCTCTCCCTCAGCCTTGCCCCACAGAAGCCTCCCCTATCCTATCCCCTGCTTGCTGCTGTGAAAGAAAAACTGAAACTGAAACTCCTCCCCTCTGTGTTTTGCATCTGGAACAGATTTCTTTTCAGGTGGGGAGGGGAAGTAGAACTCCTTAGCATCAGAGTGTGTTAATAATAATATAGGAAATACTAATGCTCTGATGGTCATTTAGAAAAATCCTTTCTTAGTGAGCACCTAGAAGCCAAGAGGAACATACGTGGCAAATTTCAAGTTTGTAGCAGGGGTGAAATGCTCCCGGTTCGGACCGGCTCGGGTGAGTAGGTAGCAGAGATTGAGGCTAGTTTGCCGAACCAGGAGCAATAGCTGGCTGGCCACGCCCCCGAACCGGTCCACGGCCCGCAGTCCTGCCATGCTTGCTTGCCTTCCACGCTGGCTTTCTGGCATCCCGGTGGCCAGCTTGCGAAGGCAGGCAAGCAGAAGCCCACGTGGAAGGCAGGGAAGCATGGCAGGGCTGCGGGGAAGGAGCTAGCACCTTACTCACCACCACCCCCCGGAAGTACCACTGCAGTGAACAAAACAACCTCATTGCACTGTGCCTCCTTCTGCAGCCAAACGTGCCCAGCCGTGCGTGCCCTTTCTTCAAATGGGCTGTGCATGGGGCGCTTGGAGAGAGAGCAAGCAAGAGAGCTCTCCAACCTCTGTTTGTGTGTGTGTGCGTGTGTGTGTGTGTGAGAGAGAGGAAGGTAGGGAACGATCTGAAGCCGAGGCACCCAAACTTCTGGCAGCGCTGGGGATGGCTTCTGAGCAGCCTGAGTCAGCCAGCTCCACCTGACCTACTCGCTGAGTCTCGCCGTTCTCCTCGCCCACCCCCACACTCAAGCAGAGGCGGCTCTACGGGACAACAGGACCTCTCATTTTTCCCACAGCACCAGGTGGAAGGCGGCTTTTTCAGCAGCATCCCCCTCCCCTCTTTGGATCGCCCTGCAAGGGGGAGGTTCTGTCTTTGCAGAAACGGAATGGGCGGTTTGTATGGAGGATTGGTTGGGGGAGGGATGCACGGCCCTCCGGAATGAAGAGCAGGGCAAGAGAAGGCTCCGAGGTTCACCTGGGCAGTCAAGCCAGAGGGAAACTCAAAGCATTGGGGGCTTCAGAAAGGCAGAATGTGCTTTTGTGCAGCTCCTGGCTTCTGTGACATTCTATCACTTCACTGTGCTTTACAGGCAACTGTAAGCTGTGCACCGAGTCAACACATTGCCCCGAACAATCTGGGTCCCCGTTCAACGGACCCCCAAAACATTAAAGGCTCGGTGTATCCCGAGCCACATCAGAAATGAAAATCTGGCAGTGGCAACAACATGAACTGTGCCAACCTGGCTCCCTTGGTGTGCCATCCTGTCCTCCATGGCAAGATTGCCCCTGGTATCTATGGACAAGGAGGGGGGAGAGAGGTGAGGCTAAGAATAAAGGGAAACTAGTATAGATCTATTTCCAGCTATCTAGCTCTAGCTCTCATCAGCTAGCCATACCCCACCTGGGAGTTGAACTCGGGCTGCGTGGATATAAGGCAGTTGTATTAATCTCCAAGCCACAAGTCCTCCTCTTTTGCCAGCCCCAAGGTCTCCACCTCCGGTGCTGGCAGTATAGCAGCAAAGTCTTCTGCTATAGTATGGAGCCTCAATTCAGAACCAGGGGATGGAAGGTTCCCCTTGTCCTGTATCAGATTTAGGAAGCGGCTAGGTGACTAAGAGAACCTCAAGCTGGCAGATGGTCCCGAAACCACATATTGGCAGGCTTATGGACTGCCAGGAGATGAGCCTGGAAGGCTGGTTCTGGTCCCAGGCTTGCCGTGGCCAAGGCCCTGGCAGTAGTAGCAAGGTCCAGCCCTCATCACAGATAACGTGAAATTTTGCATGATTCCTGGTTAAAAATCCCCTGACTGGGAAGAGCATTGGAAAATGCAGAGGTTGCCAAAGGTGGCATAGCTCTCCAAGAGCAATGTGTTCTCGCCCTGTAATTGTCCTATGGGCAATAGCTGGCAAAATTATAATTTTTGCTGACCATTTGTATCCTGGTGCTGCTCCTCCCCTGGGATGGTCCCTACTGCATGAGGCAAACATAGAGGCAGGTGGAACCAGGTCTCCCTAGAAGGAGCAGGTCCTCTGCATCCTAAAAGAGCATGCGCAAGATGGCGGTGGCGTCTCCGAGTGCTGCGTGAGGATGGATGGCCTCGGGGCTTCAGGGGGTTGCTACAGGGGCACTCGACCATCAGCGACCCCTGGTTTGGCCGGATGAGCTCGGGGCGAGGATTTTAAGACCTCCTCGCCCCTCAGCGTATCGGATTAGGCTCGGCTTACCCTCGAGCGCATCGGGCGCAGTGCCATTGTAACTTTGAACTGTCACTAATTGAACTGTTGTAAATCGAGGATTACCGGTACTCCTCCTTTCCGGGAGGGTCTCTTGTAACTTAGCAACTTAACTGTTGCTAAGAGGCCAGCTGTAAATCAAGGACTACCTGTATTAGAAAAGTGGAAATGAGCTTAGCGTTCAGGAGACAAGAACTGTTTGGTTCTCAGTGGTCTGGAAAATTGCCATATTCCAACCTTACCCATGTCTCTTTTCGAACGTCAGTTGAGGTGTCCACATAGATCAGATGGGTAGCCGTCAAATACAGTGTCCCATTTGCTGCTTTCTTGTTGGTATAACGATCTAGCAGCTTGACATTTTCTACCTGTAGGGCAGAAAGGGGGGAAAAAAAGAAACCAGAAAGGAAGAAACTAATTAGAACGTGTCTAAAAGAGGCAAAATGCACCAGATCAGTCACTGCGCATGGAAAGCATTTGCACCACTCAAAGTGCCCGCTGTTCAGCTCTCCAACTTTGCACCAGCAAGGAAGTGAGCAATTACTGAACAGATGGGAAAAGGTATCCTTCTTCTAATTAGCCCAGAGCTTCATCGTACTGCAATAGGAAGCCAATTAAGTCAAAATTGTAATCTTTGCACACTGGGTTGTCCATCACGAAGAAAAATCATTTCTAGGTGAGTAAGAAAGGAACCTTTTATGATCGTGAATTAGACATCATGTACCCCATTACAAATTTCTGACGTAAGGTTCAGCTATTCAGCGAACTTGAGAACAAGGAGTTCTGCCTAATGGATGAGAATCAGGGGTCAAGAAGACGGTGGGGTTTGCAAGAATAATGACTTTCTGTCAAGGGAAAAATAATTATAAGGCTCCTCATTTTGCCTCAATTAAAATGAATTCAATCAGAAAAGCCGGAGGAATAAATTTCAGAATCAGTACTTATGAGTACTTATGAGGCACCTAAGCACACAATCAAAGATATCGTCTCTCCTTCATTCACGGGGCTCATCTTCATAATCCACTTTGGAGTACCCGACTTTTGCCGATGGTGCTTGAGAAACCAGCGAATTAGTTTTGAGGAAACTGAAGTTCTCCAGAGCGTAATAAAACAGAACTCTTAGCAACTCTTAGCAACTTAGAGCCTTGATAGTACAGTGGTTTAGTGCACCCTGTTATTAACACAGCTGCCTGCAATTTCTGCTGGTTTGAATCTCTCCAAGGCTCAAGGTTGACTCAGCCTTCCATCCTTTCAAAGGTAGGTTAAATGAGGACCCAGTTTGTGGGGGCAATAAGCTGACTTTGTATAAAATATACAAAAGGATGAAGGCTATTGCTTAACGCACTGTAAGCCGCCCTGAGTCTCCGGAGAAGGGCGGCATATAAATCAAATTAAAAAAAAAAATAAATTAAAAAAAAAAAACACTCAGCCACCTGGGACAAGAGGGGTTGGGAGTTGTGGTCCAGCAAGATCTTGAGGGACATAGGATTCCCATCTCCTGTGGTAGCAAACATAGATTCAAGAATCCTAAAGTCTAAGGCAGTGGTCCCAACTCTTCTGACTTTGCAGACCAGCAGTGAGGGGAGGGAGAGATGGGATGGTTCTGCCCACACGCAGCGCCATTTGCACAAGCCCAAGTGGAGCTGCGTGCATGAGCGTGTTCGCCTGTTGCTTGTAAAGCCCATGGGACCTTGTTGATGGGGATTCTCAATCATCCAGGACTTTGTTGTCCCAAAGGTGCTTTTTCCACAAGGCAACTGGACTTTCTTGGGGTTTTTTTCCCCTTTGAAAACATTTCATTTCTCATCCAAGAAGCTTCAATCAATCAATCTCCAGTGAAGGGGGGAAATCTCCAGTGAAGGTAAAAACAATGGGTTACTCTATATCAGAGGTCTCCAAACTTGGCAACTTTAAGACTTGTGGACTTCAACTCCCAAAATTGGAGTTGGCTGGAGAATTCTGGGAGCTGAAGTCCACAAGTCTGCCAAGTTTGGAGACCTCTGCTCTATATGGTAACCCATTCCACTGATTGACAGTTCTTGCTCTGGCAAGAGGTTCTCCCCCATGTCAAATCTGTATCTACATCCTTGAACTTCCATCCGAGTCTAAACCTCTGGGACTACTGGGAATACTGGTACATCTGAACATGACAGCCCTTCAGATAGGAAGAAGACTATCATATCTCCTCCCAATCTTCTGCAAACTAAATATAAAGATAGTCCTTGACTCACAACCACAATTGAACCCAAAATTTTTGTTGCTAAGTGAGACAATTGTTAAGTGAATTTTGCCCCATTTAATGACTTTTCTTATCACAATTGTTAAGTAAATCACTCTGGTTATTAAGTTAGTTACACAGTTGTTAACCTGGCTTCACCATTGACTTTGCTTGTTGGAAGATTGTAAAAGGGGATCACATGACCATGGAACACTGCAACCGTCATAAATATGAGTCAGTTGCTAAGCAGCTGAATTTTGATCATAGGACTATGGGGATGCCAAAATGATTGTAAGTGTGAAAACAGTCATAAGTCACTTTTTTCAGTGCCGTTGTAACTTCGAGCTCTCACTAAATGAACTATTGTTAGGACTTTTAACCATTTTTTAATTTAATTTGATTTTTAATTTGATTTATATGCCGCCCTTCTCCGGAGACTCAGGGCGGCTTACAATGCGTTAAGCAATAGCCTTCATACTTTTGTATATTTATACAAAGTCAGCTTATTGCCCCCACAATCCGGGCCCTCAATTTACCTACCTTAGAAAGGATGGAAGGCTGAGTCAACCTTGAGCCTTGGCGAGATTCGAACCTGCAGTAATTGCAGGCAGCTGGTCTTAATAACCAGCTTAATAACAGGGTGCCTTAGACCACTGTACTACCAAGGCTCTTGTAGGAACAGTGAATTCAACAGGTGAGCATGACCAAATAAGAAATAAAAGGAAGCTCTTGAGGTAGAGAAGGGAGCCCAACCCTTCACCAGGTAAGGAGGAAGCCAAGGAACAAAAAAACTCACCCTAGATGCTAAGCACTTCACGGTGGATGGAAAAGAGGACCCTGCACAAAAGTATGGACATGCCCTGGACCACTGCATACACGCTCCAAACTTACTTCGAAAAGCAAATGGAGAAATAATAAAGCTATCATCTAATATTTCAGAAACTGCTGCATAGAGTTCTAATGTGATTATAGGTAGTCCTTCATTTATGACTGGTCATTTATCGACTGTTCAAACTTCTGACAGATCTACCTGGGGGATACTTATGACAAAGACTGGGCAGCCCCTCCCCTTGCAGTCATGTGACCGCATTTCAGGTGCTCAGCAACCAGCCTCCAGTTATGGCCATTTGCACTATCCCATGGTCACATGACCCTGTTTTATGACATTTTGCCAAAACCCTGAATTTACTTCCTGTTCTTGGCAAAAACCGGCCCATACCAAACAAGTGTTTTGCTTAATGACCATGGCATTTACATAACTGTGGTGGTCATTTGACATTGTATTTCCTAATGACTGCTGCAAAAAAGATCATAAAATAGGGTTGATCATGTGACTGACCCTTTTTACAACTGACACGACTTACCACCATAATGGGCAAGCTCCATTATGCTCATAACATGAAGACTACCTCTATAAAAACTCAAGTAAATCAGCTCCTGTGATAGATAAAGCATGGTGGAATAATCTCATTGTTCATCTTAATCTTCAATCACTCAATAATTGTTGTGCAGTTAATTCTCCCTCTTTCTCTCTATGAGATGCAAAACCTATCATACTGGGCACATTATACTGTTTGTATTGGGTATTCCATATACTGCATTCACTCCACACTCCATATTTAGCACCCCATCACAGAACATAGAATAACAGAGTTGGAAGGGACCTTAGAGGTCTTCGAATCCAACTACCTGCTGAAGCAGGAAAGCCTACACCATTTTAGGCAAATGGTTGTCCAGTCTCTTCTTAAAAGCCTCCAGTGATAGAGCACCACAACTTCTAAAGGCAAGCCATTCCACTGGTTCCATCTCTTCTTTCTTGTCCTACCTTCTGGTGCTTTGGAGGATGTTAAACCTCTCTCCTTTGTGGCAGCCCTTCAAGTATTGGAACACGGCTATCGTATCTTCCCCAGTCCTTATTTCACGAGACTAGTCATACCCAGTTCCTGCAACCTTTCATTATGTTCCTTTTAACTCCAGCCCCCTAATCATCCTTTTGCTCTTTTCTGCACCCTCAACGGTTTTTTATGTTGTGGTGACCAAAATGGATGCAATATTTCAAGTATGGTCCACTAAGTTCACACTTGGAACTATCATTCTTGACCTTCTTTCTTTGTGATGTATTACACACTTTTCTTCAGTGTATTCCACTTATTTTTATGTTTTCTTCAAATCTTACATCCATATAATAAAACAAGCAGAAGCACACTCTCAAGCCCAGTCATTCCCACCTTTCACACAGCAGTTTCTTTCCCATACATATAATTAAGATGCTCCTTCCAACTTTTTACAACAAATCACATGACTTTTAAGACCACCCACTCAGCTTTTTACTGAGCCCACTTCATAGAACATAGAATCACAGGGCTGGAAGAAACCTCAAGGGTCTTTTAGTCCTTATAGCATCCCGGTAAAATGGTTGTCCAATCTCTGAAGAACACATGAGGTTCCCCTAACCAACTTGCTCAGACCGAAGAAGCTACCTGGATAAGCAGAGAAACGTTTTTAACCAGCAAGAAAAGAAGTCCAGTTGCCGTAACTCAACTTCCACACAGGTTGAAAATTACTCATCAGTTGCTCTTCTCCAACCTCTACCAGACGTCACCTTACGTCACCTTTAAGTAGCCGTGTAAAAGAGATCTTTTAAACTACAGATGCAAGGAACAAACTGGGCTGGGTTTTTCCCCCTGAGATATTTTTTTCTTATTTATAAGATTTATAAGGCCACCAACTCAACTAGTGTAACTTTGGGCAGCATATAGCATGAAAACAAACAATAACTCAAAGAAAAAACCCATATAAAGTAACAATAAACAATACAATATATAAATATATTGCATATTAAATGGCAACCAAGGACATAAGAAAATAACCACAAGGAGCCTGGTGGCGCAGCAGACTAAAGCAGACTGTTATTAACACCAGCTGCCTGCAATTACTGCAAGTTCAAATCTCACCAGGCTCCAGGTTGACTCAGCCTTCCATCCTTTCTAAGATAGGTAAAATGAGGACCCAGATTGTGGGGGCAATAAGCTGACTTTGTATAAATATACAAAAGTATGAAGGCTATTGCTTAACGCATTGTAAGCCGCCCTGAGTCTCCGGAGAAGGGCAGCATATAAATCAAATTAAAAAAAAATAAAAAAATAAAAA